TTAAAGATGTTAATACTTACTGTGTTATATTGATAATACAGGTAGTTAATAAGTTATATTCCATTGAAGATGTTAATACTTACTGTGTTATATTGATAATACAGGTAGTTAATAAGTTATATTCCATTAAAGATGTTAATACTTACTGTGTTATATTGATAATACCGTCTATTAATGAGTTATATTCCATTGAAGATGTTAATACTTACTGTGTTATATTGATAATACCGTCTATTAATGAGTTATATTCCATTAAAGATGTTAATACTTACTGTGTTATATTGATAATACAGGTAGTTAATAAGTTATATTCCATTGTAGATGTTAATACTTATTGTGTTATATTGATAATACCGTCTATTAATAAGTTATATTCCATTGAAGATGTTAATATTTACTGTGTTATATTGATAATACAGGTAGTTAATAAGTTATATTCCATTAAAGATGTTAATACTTACTGTGTTATATTGATAATACCGTCTATTAATAAGTTATATTCCATTGAAGATGTTAATACTTACTGTGTTATATTGATAATATGGTCTATTAATGAGTTATATTCCATTAAAGATGTTAATACTTACTGTGTTATATTGATAATACCGTCTATTAATGAGTTATATTCCATTGAAGATGTTAATATTTACTGTGTTATATTGATAATACGGTCTATTAATGAGTTATATTCCATTAAAGATGTTAATATTTACTGTGTTATATTGATAATACGGTCTATTAATGAGTTATATTCCATTAAAGATGTTAATACTTACTGTGTTATATTGATAATACGGTCTATTAATGAGTTATATTCCATTAAAGATGTTAATATTTACTGTGTTATATTGATAATACGGTCTATTAATGAGTTATATTCCATTAAAGATGTTAATACTTACTGTGTTATATTGATAATACGGTCTATTAATGAGTTATATTCCATTGTAGATGTTAATATTTACTGTGTTATATTGATAATACGGTCTATTAATGAGTTATATTCCATTAAAGATGTTAATATTTACTGTGTTATATTGATAATACCATCTATTAATGAGTTATATTCCATTAAAGATGTTAATACTTACTGTGTTATATTGATAATACAGGTAGTTAATAAGTTATATTCCATTAAAGATGTTAATATATACTGTGTTATATTGATAATACCGTCTATTAATAAGTTATATTCCATTGAAGATGTTAATACTTACTGTGTTATATTGATAATACCATCTATTAATGAGTTATATTCCATTGAAGATGTTAATATTTACTGTGTTATATTGATAATACGGTCTATTAATGAGTTATATTCCATTAAAGATGTTAATACTTACTGTGTTATATTGATAATACAGGTAGTTAATAAGTTATATTCCATTGAAGATGTTAATACTTACTGTGTTATATTGATAATACCGTCTATTAATGAGTTATATTCCATTGAAGATGTTAATATTTACTGTGTTATATTGATAATACAGGTAGTTAATAAGTTATATTCCATTGTAGATGTTAATACTTACTGTGTTATATTGATAATACAGGTAGTTAATAAGTTATATTCCATTGTAGATGTTAATACTTACTGTGTTATATTGATAATACAGGTAGTTAATAAGCTATATTCCATTGTAGATGTTAATATTTACTGTGTTATATTGATAATACCGTCTATTAATAAGTTATATTCCATTGAAGATGTTAATATTTACTGTGTTATATTGATAATACAGGTAGTTAATAAGTTATATTCCATTAAAGATGTTAATACTTACTGTGTTATATTGATAATACCATCTATTAATGAGTTATATTCCATTGAAGATGTTAATACTTACTGTGTTATATTGATAATACGGTCTATTAATAAGTTATATTCCATTGAAGATGTTAATACTTACTGTGTTATATTGATAATACGGTCTATTAATGAGTTATATTCCATTGAAGATGTTAATATTTACTGTGTTATATTGATAATACCGTCTATTAATGAGTTATATTCCATTGAAGATGTTAATATTTACTGTGTTATATTGATAATACAGGTAGTTAATAAGTTATATTCCATTAAAGATGTTAATACTTACTGTGTTATATTGATAATACCGTCTATTAATAAGTTATATTCCATTAAAGATGTTAATATTTTATTATATATGATGTCATGTTAAATAGATCTACTTTCATTTTATCATTTCATACTTATACAGCCATACACACTTGTTATTTTAGATGAGCGATTATTTATATTCATGTATTATATATTATGAAACAGTGATGTTTGTAGGAGAGGTGGGGGCGTGGTTCTCTTCTCTCAAATCTTCCAGGGGAAATATTGCCTGTGAGTGTGAGCCCCGTTAACAATTTTTTAGCCCTTATTTTGTCCTTGAATCTTCTGAGAAAGGCCACTTGATGTGGGGAAAAATGGAGTGATTTGGCCTTTACTTTCATTTTATCATCCTGGCTTTATGAAGCTACACACAAGTTAATGATCACGGAAATGTTATTAAAGTCAAGTAATGATATTTTAAACACATCTTCATCTACAAACTTCATCTTCACAATGTCAAGCTATTACAAACTTCATCTTCACAATGTCAAGCTATTACAAACTTTATCTTCACAATGTCATGCTATTACTAACTTCATCTTCACAATGTCAAGCTATTACAAACTTCATCTTCACAATATCAAGCTATTACAAACTTCATCTTCACAATATCATGCTATTACAAACTTCATCTTCACAATGTCAAGCTATTACAAACTTCATCTTCACAATATCAAGCTATTACAAACAACATCTTCACAATGTCAAGCTATTACAAACTTCATCTTCACAATATCAAGCTATTACAAACTTCATCTTCACAATGTCAAGCTATTACAAACAACATCTTCACAATGTCAAGCTATTACAAACTTCATCTTCACAATATCAAGCTATTACAAACTTCATCTTCACAATATCAAGTTATTACAAACTATTACAAACTTCATCTTTACAATGTCAAGCTATTACAAACTCCATCTTATACCTTGACTGCAATAGCCACATTTCTTGTAACACGTTTTTCAAAATACAGGGATTTGATTGGATTGTACAGTAATGAATTCAGCCAATCGGAGACCTGGATAGAAAGTCAGTAAACACTAAGCCATAATGTTAACAGTCTTTCTGTCATTGGCTCTGATTGGCTGTATTCACTTACATACAATCCAATTACATTGTTGCATTCCATGGTACAAGAAGAGCAGCTATTGCAGTCAAGGTATAAGACACAGTTTGTAATAGTTTGATATATAATTATCTATTATAAATGATGTATAGGAGTTTAGGTTTTTATTGACAATTGAATTTATTACGTCAAATCTATTTTACTGAGGTTATTAATATGTTATTGACGTACGTTACCTACGTGATGTATTATTTCTACAACTGATTAATGACAAGGTATTTTAGGTTTTTTGCTTTCTAACAATATACAATCCAATAAATATATTCAATGTATTATATTGACTATATGACAAATATTCCCCCCCCCCCCCCCCACTTCTCCTGTAGCTGTTAAAACAAACATTAAGACAACCTCACTGTAACTGTAACTGTAACCTCACTGTAACTGTAACCTCACTGTAACTATAACTATAGCTGTAACTGTTACTGAACTGTAACTGTAACTGTAATTGTAACCTCACAGTAACTGTAACCTCACTGTAATTGTAACCTCACTGTAACTGTAATTGTAACCTCACTGTAACTGTAATTGTAACCTCACTGTCACTGTAACCGTTTGTGTTTAAAATAAATAATAATTAAAGCAACATGGAAATAGGTCTAATTAAGTTATTGTCAATATTCACCACTAATTATTAATTAACAACTAACAAGATTAATTAACGAGCTGTGAGTATTCAATTGTTGTATAAGTCTGACATCTGTTCAACTCTACAGAATTTAAATATGTTACTTGTACTAATGTTGATAAATTTAATTATTACAAGCTGTCCTGATGAGGATTGTGTATCTGAAACTGTCAGTAGCATGAGATAATCTCTGGTCAATGAGCTAACATTATTTTTAAGACAAGCTGTCCTGATGAGTATTGTGTAGCTGAAACATGCTTTATTATTTCTGGTGACTACTAGTCTTGAGCTGTCAGTAGCTTGAGATAATCTCTAGTCAATTGAAATAACTGGTACCAAAGTATTGTGATTAATATTTATGATATTTTGTTGAAGGTTCTGTGTTTTTATTATTGTCTGTTCTAGGATTTTGATAGTGTTTTGTGATTTTGACTGATTGTTGTGTCTAGAATATTTGTTTAAATCTATTTTAATTGTTTTACTGGTATATGGTTCTTTCCTGGTAATTCGGAAAGTAATTTGGTATTTTAATCAAATGGTTAGTTGGTGGAGTTTTAGTTGATTAGACAAGTTAACGTCTGCTTCCAGCTAACTGATATCACTGACTAGATAATTACTGTTTGAGTCTGGAGGTTTGTGTAGAAATTAATTGTGGTTGTAGCCTTTAGACTGTTGGTAGAAAAGTTTTGATATCAGTGAAAAATAAACAAGATATTACCGGTATTATAATCAACACGAAAAATTGAAAATAGTTTTAATATTTGATATTTAAAAACCATTTTGTCATCGAGAAAAAAAAAACATTTTATAACAAACAAAATATTGTTTATAGTTTTGACAAAATATAAAAAAATAAATATAATTTCAATATGAATTATAATAAAGATGTCTAATTATAATAAAACACAGAATTATAATATCTTACTTGTCATTTTCTAACAAAACATTTTAAAATATCATAAAAACATTAATTTAACCAGACGTTCGTAAAATATGAATTTACCTGTATTTTATATGATTTATAAAAAATAGAGAAGTGAGTAAACAGCCTGCAGGGTGTTCACTTGACAAATTATAACATTTATTTGAAAATTTTACAAAATATTTGAAGGTGATTGAAATTTTTGTACAGTTTTGAGAAAGTTTGGGTGAATATTTGATACAGTGTTTTGTGTTTTATTGAACAAGGAATAAGATGTAAGGCAGGTGTTTTTGGCACAGTTTTAATCATTTTGGATTTACTTTGTAAAGTGTTTACAGTTTGTAAGAAAGTTGGATTTACTTTGTAAACTGTTTACAGTTTGTAAGTTTTCAAAGTGAAAAGAGAAACAGACTATATAAGTATAAATATTAACAGCTTGCTCTGGTCCAAAAACTTAAATTTTGATCTTATTTGGTGTTATAACAGGTTTTGTGTCTTTCAAAACTATTTACTATTTAACTATTAACTATTCTCAGAAGAGTTTGTAGAAAGTTTGTAGAAAGTTTGGAGGAAATTTTGTGTTAAATGTTTTGTGTGTTTCAAAAACTATAAAATTTATATCTAGGTATAAAACCGTCAGTGACCTGACTAAAAACTCTAATTTTGCTGGTTGATGTTTTATTGTTTTATAAATTTGTCTAACTGTACGAGAAGTTCTCCATGTGTTTTGTTTTTTAAACCATACAACCTCCAGATATTAGACAATATAAGATACAATATTTTATTAAGTACAGCTAGTTCCTTTACCCTTCAGCAACGTGACGATGTTTAACATTTACTGTTTTACTCTCTTTTTTACTGACATGACCTTTTCTTGTACTTAACAAATAAAAATAGAAATGTTAATTTTGATTGACAAAAGTAAGATAGTTACACCTAAATGTGTTAATGAAAAATCAATGTATGGAAAGAGAAAGCTTGCAAGGAACGCATTCCCAACAGTCAAGGAATGGATCTTTTTTGTTCAATACCTAACAACTAAACACTTGGTCCATGTCATCCCGTCTGACTTGCATCATTGCCAGAAGGAAACTGTGTTCAAATTCCTAAGGTATTATTATTACCTATACCTGGCTTGAAACCATGAATACGATCAGTAGGCAAACATCTGATTCACTGTCATCTTTATTTGTACAATTAGAAGCAGAAGAGTAGAACTTAAAACTACATTTATTTCATTTCTTTTTTTTAATTCACTAAGACACTGCGGTTTATTTGTTACAACTGTCCTGATGAGGATTGTATACCTGAAGCATGTGTTATTAATTCTGATGAGTTCTATTCAATGAGCTAAGTTGTCCTGATGAGGATTGTGTATCTGGAACATGCTTTATTATTTCTGGTGACTTCTAGTAAATGAGCTAACATATAGCTCTATATTAGACAGTAAATCTTTAAGCTAGCTCGCTAACCTGAAGGTCCCGGGTTCAATCCTGGCATAGGTCGAGATTATACCTTCGGATTTTTCAACCCGGTTTCCCTCTGTCAGTGATGCAGGTAAGAGGGCCTGGCATGGAAAAAGCGTCTAGTCGTTCGGATGGGACAATAAACCGAGGCCCACGCGTACCACAGGCTGTACATGTTAAAGATCCCTCAGCAGTTGGAATGCAGGAACATGTTTGTATGTTTGTCAATTGAAATAACTGGTACCAAAGTATTGTGATTAATATTTACGATATTTTGTTGAAGGTTCTGTGTTTTTATTATTGTCTGTTCTAGGATTTTGATAGTGTTTTGTGATTTAGGCTGATTGAAAATTGTCGTGTTAGTTTTTTTTATAAAACTAGTTAATCGTTGAAGAAGTTTGCTAATGACGTGATCCATGCAGTAACAAGAGATCAATATATAAACACACCAGTTTATTTCTGGCAGACGTCAATTTTCTTTTAGCGTGATAACAGATAATTATCGTTGCGAGTTATTAATAGATCTATTAATAGATTGTTACTAGTGTTCATATTAGGCGGTTGATGTGTGTTTTAGGATATGAAACCGTCATCAGGATAATAGATAGTTATCGTTATGGTTATTTATATAAACTAATAGAAAGATTAGGCTAGTAAAATACTGATCAATTGTAGAACGATATGGTAATATATAAACAGAATCTTAAACTTTCAAATGTTTTAATATTTATAGATATTTTGATAGACAGATGATAAATAGATATTGACTAACAAGTGACTAATGTTAATAGAAGTCTGTTGATGTGCGTTTTGGATATTAAACCTCTCATCAGGATAAGAGATAATTATCTTTTATAGATCTTTTAATAGATTGTTGCTAGTGTTCATATTAGACGGTTGATATGCATTTTGGATATGAAACCATCTTCAGGATAATTTTCATTGTGAGGTATTTATAAAAGGATTCGTCCCGAAACATAGCTACATTTACTCTAATTGTATTGACTTTTTACCTCCTATTTGCACGTTATCGTGTGATTTATTTTTATAGATGTATTGTATTAAGAGGAAGATTGGTGACCAGTGTTATCATAAGACTGATGATATGCGTTTTGGATATTGAACTAATCAGGATAGCAGGTTTGAATATCTGAACTAAAAAGCCAATGAAAATTGGATGTCAACAGTTGGTCAAAAAGGTGTTCTGTGGTTTGAATTTGAAGGACAGACAATATTTTAAGGTCAGTCTGTAAAAACTTGATGATGAAGTGATACCTATTGAATAGAAGCCATTGTTTCTGCTACATATTGTTCCATGATATACAGGGCTGTAACTGGGGTCTATTTTCTATAAAAAGTCATTTGTCAGTCATGTTTTTCATCGTAATGCTTTCGGTAGAGTGCAAACAGTAACCACCTTGACTGTAGACTTCAAACAGTAACCACCATTACCGTAGACTTCAAACAGTAACCACCTTGACTGTAGACTTCAAACAGTAACCACCTTGACTGTAGACTTCAAACAGTAACCACCATTACCGTAGACTTCAAACAGTAACCACCTTGACTGTAGACTTCAAACAGTAACCACCTTGACTGTAGACTTCAAACAGTAACCACCTTGACTGTAGACTTCAAACAGTAACCACCTTGACTGTAGACTTCAAACAGTAACCACCTTGACTGTAGACTTCAAACAGTAACCACCTTGACTGTAGACTTCAAACAGTAACCACCATTACCGTAGACTTCACAAAAAGCAATATATTTAGCAGATATCATATTTATATTTATAGTTTTTAGAATAAAATTTATTTTGTAAAATTTGGCGTGAGACTTGGCGTTGATGTAATTATAGCCTGGTATGATTTGTAATACCCAGTACTAACAAGTCTATCACCCAGTCTCTGACAGTATTTATACAACTTGTAAATATAACAAATTATAATTGTAAGATGAAAATCTCCAGACATTGTCAAAGAGTCTAATTTTAAAACTGTCATTTTCTTGTCTCAGGGAGGAAGAATTGTCATATAAATATTGATTTTACATCTGAATACCTTGGTTAATTTGTACATCAGATTTCTATGGTTTGTCTTTATTTTATATAAACTTTCTAGCTTGTAGTATCATATCCAAACAGATACTCTCATACTATGGTGATTACAAGTTGTTTATGAACAATTCAGATATACCTGAGACATTGGGATAGCAACAGGTCAAGGGATTGTGTCTGAACATGTTGTAGAAACTGTTAAATTGAAGTTGTGTATTAGGGGGTGAAAGCCGGCACTTGAATGTCTCTCAGAAGCACTGGCACAGACATCAGAATTGAAGGGTTCATTTTAAGAGAGATTGTTTTACAGTATAATCAATTGACCTATTATATTAAACAAGATGTGTTTATTTTTTCCCCTGTTCCTGTATTTGTTGTTTGATTTAAGTCGACTATTGTATTTCTCTACTTTGTTTACTTCTAATGAGGGCAGCGGCGGTGAAATAAAAATAGAACAATTTAAAGGGATTTAAAGAGATTTTCTCGTTATTGTATGTAGGTCTAGGTATCCATTAAGAAATTGAGATTGATTATCGATGGCAGACTATTGATCAATAATCAGTTATTATAGTTTATTGTGGGTAATCAATTATGAAATTTGATAATCGATAATCGAAATTATAAATTCCTAGCGCCGATTATCGATTATTTTGATCATTTTACCCAGTCTTAGTTATATATATATACAGTACACATATATCTTCCATTTGTACCTACCTGATTTTGCATCTGACTTCTGTAGTTCCTGTAATTCAAATATTATTCATGACTAGTTCATTTTCACTAATGATAGAATGTTGTCATATTTAGTACCTGAAGAAAGTTTAGAAATTATCTTTACAATCACTTTAGGTTTCCAGAATTTTTTCTCCGATGCAGATTGTTTCAGATATTACTGGTACGTTTGAACTTACTTTGTTAAATTGTTAATTTTAAACATTGTTGTTTTGTATTTTACAGTTTGAACAACAAGAATGAGGTTAAAGTACTGGATATTTTAGACTTATGTCAAGATTGACAAGAAGTCAACCAATCAAATCAGCAGACAACATGATTGACAGTTCATTCAACCAATCATCTCAATAGAATAAGTGATTGACATGTGAATAAACCAATCACAGTGTTTGAAATAAAGTGAATCAATGGCTCAGGATCTATATGCCAATATGTCGTTCAGTACTATATTTCGGAAGGCTACAAATTTACTTGGAATCGGAACGGAGGAGGTGAAGTCTCCGCCACTAGATGGCGAGATTATTTATTGTAAAAACAACGTCTGTGTTCATCCGCCTGCTCCGTTAACTCTAGAAGTAGAACATCATCCTGGTTACCTGACTATTAGAGCTCAACAAGATGAGGTAAGTTTTTGTTTTGAAATTCCAAATTCTAAAACTCATCTTTCTGTAATTAAACTTTCCAACTGTTATTGTTCCTGTCTGACTTGAACAAGGAACTTTCCAACTGTTATTGTTCCTGTCTGACTTGAACAAGGAACTTTCCAACTGTTATTGTTCCTGTCTGACTTGAACAAGGAACTTTCCAACTGTTATTGTTCCTGTCTGACTTGAACAAGGAACTTTCCAACTGTTATTGTTCCTGTCTGACTTGAACAAGGAACTTTCCAACTGTTATTGTTCCTGTCTGACTTGAACAAGGAACATTCCAACTGTTATTGTTCCTGTCTGACTTGAACAAGGAACTTTCCAACTGTTGTTGTTCCTGTCTGACTTGAACAAGGAACTTTCCAACTGTTATTGTTCCTGTCTGACTTGAACAAGGAACTTTCCAACTGTTGTTGTTCCTGTCTGACTTGAACAAGGAACTTTCCAACTGTTGTTGTTCCTGTTTGACTTGAACAAGGAACTTTCCAACTGTTGTTGTTCCTGTCTGACTTGAACAAGGAACTTTCCAACTGTTATTGTTCCTGTCTGGCTTGAACAAGGAACTTTCCAACTGTTATTGTTCCTGTCTGACTTGAACAAGGAAATCTTAGTTCCAAAACTAAAAAATCGTGTTGTTGCCCTATGTTAGCCTGTAATATCACTGATTGCTGTAGTTGATTTGGTCAAGGTGCCAAGTCTTTGCTGTTGGTCATCTTTTGTCTTCAGAGAAAGTGTAATTTGATTCAAATTGCCCCTGATGTTTTATATTTATGCTTTATTCCAGGTAAAGGGTCCAACGTTGGTTTTAACATGGATACCCAACGCATCTTTAAAGAAAAACCCTCAAAGCATCGAGAGTAGCCCAGCCATTAAACCACCAAAAGTATTAACTCCAAGATCTAGTCCACGTAAAACACCAAAACAAGAATTCGCTAAACCAGAAGGGGACATTACTCCATCGGATATCGATTCCCCAGATCAGACTTCCTCCTACCTCAAAAACAACCAATCAACTGCTGCCAAATCGTACAAACAGAGTGTTGATAATACGAGTTTTAGTTCGGATAGTGTGTCCGTCTGCTCACATGAAGAATCTCTCAGTATGGAAAGTTGGACAGCTCAGTTTGATGAAGCTGGAACAAGTGACAAAGTGAAATTGAGTTCTAGTTGTAAATCACAAACGGATTCTGGAATAGGGTCAGATGAAGTCACTGTTCATAGTTTTACCCATAATGCATTTGATGTTCAAAATAACGTGAAAGTGAGCCATCTTGTGAAACCGTCGAAAATTGGCGTCAACGTCAATGTGTTACACGAGAAAAATTGTAATTCTAATCACGAAATTAAGAATTTGATAAATGCTCCGAACAGAGAGGAGGAGTTATCTGCTCTTGAAAATGATGGTTTGACGTCTGAAGAGCAGTTGGCAGCCATGATGCAACGAAACAAACTTCACGCTAAAAAAAATGACGTAGCCAATCAGAATCAAGCTGTGAAAAGTATCGTGATGGACGGTGATCAACTTCAAGTCGTTACGGAGGAAAAGGAGACATTTTTGGAATCCAAAAACTTGGACGAGAAAAACATAAATAAAAACGAAAGTAAATTTGAAACAAGTAGTTCGCAGTCGACAGACGTTGATTCTATGAGTTCTGATTCGTCCAATCCCAGCCCTTCTGACACTCGCTATGAAAATCTTCTGGCCGAACTGAAACAGAACGGGATTGGTCAAAATATTCCACAGATCCATCACGACGATGATGTTTTTGACGGGACTCTCAAACCAGACACGTTATCAGACGACAATTTAAAAGGAGGTTTAAAAGTTCCGAACGAATTAGACTTGGGAAGTTTTATAATCCCGCCCCCAAACACACCAATGTTAACTCCAGACATTTCTGTCACGCGTTATCGAAACGATTCTTCTTCTTCCACGACGACGTCTGGACCAGATTCACGACCTCCAACCCCTTACTCCTCAGACCTGGAATCTGAGCCAGGGTCCCCTACAATGGAGGATTCTACGCGTTCCATGTCAACGAGTAGTACTGGATCTATTTCCTTCTCTCATAACTTAACATTTCCTGAAAACTCTGTTACGTATAGTAGCAGTCGAAAAGAAAAGAAAACGGCCAAAGAACAAGTTTGTGGAGTATTTTCTGTTGATTTAGGTATGATTATCCAGTTTCTCACCTTTTTGATATCCAGTCTTTTAATTTCAATTGGAAAATTAAATAATTTTCATAGTGTTTTATCATCTCTTCAACTTCTTCTAGTTTTCTATCGTTTGTATCTTGTATTTGTAGGTCAGATGAGAGCCCATGTTTCACTGTAGTAATATTGTCTGTGTATGGATTGTGTTTCTAGGAATGATAATGTACCTTGTATTTGCAGGTCAGATGAGATCTCTACGTCTATTCTACAGTGATAATCAATGTACGAAGGGTCAGGTGGTCATCGCTAGTCGAGAATCTCAATATAAAATATTACACTTCCACAGCGGGGGTCTGGAAAAACTGGCAGAAATATTTGAAGAGTGGAATCTATTTAGGAAAGCTAGGGTAAGATTGTATTCTATTATATTAGTCTATTGCTCAGTTGTAAATTTAGTGTCTATATTTATACAGTAAAGTTATGTTCTGTTCAAATCCATGTTTTGTTGATAACTTCTTTAATTATGATTATTTGCCCCTGTGGTCTGTACGTCCATGCGTTCATATTTGGCTCGTGCTCACTCTAGTTTACAATTCTTTACAGATTCTTTTGATTTTTATTTTTATTTTGTGGGTCAATGTCATTATGAAGATGATCTCTATCGATTTTCTTGATGATCTGATAATTTTTCACCAAATTGTTGTTTCCAACTTAGTGTATTCACTTTTTTAGCAACTTTTTTTTATGGATTCCTTTGATTTTTATATACCACTTGTAGTATGGAAACATAATGTCATCGGCACATTGGCACATGCTCACTCTACAGGGGCTACAAACAATGATTTGTAGACCTACTTACAATCAAAGCTGCTGGTGGGCGTATGTCACTTTGCCTCCCAAGGATATATTTTTTTATGTGTTATGTTATGATATTAGATTGGTACAATAGTACTGTTATATTTATATATCTTATTAGGATGTAAATTCTACTGTTTGACCCACAAAATCCACACAAAATGAAATAAACCCACGTGAATATTTAAAATTTAAGTGTTATCTTAAGCTATTATAAATATTATTTTTGCATTTTTCTAGACGAGAGACAGTGATACTCCTTATCGTCAGTTCTTAGTAATGAAACCCCAGGTGACAGATGATCAGTGTCACCCTGAAGAGGGTGTGTTTCCCAGGGTAACAGAAGACGTCTGGCAGGCTCATATGATGGATGATGGTATTATAGAAGATGATTATCAACTTAGAAAGGTGGGAGAACGATTTCTTCATTTTATTTTGTCAAACTTAACATCATGCTTAATAACATATTATCATTTAGAAGAAGGCAAAATTTACTCAAAAAACACCTGTTTTCAAATCTTTCATATAGAGGCTTATTTATTTTGGTGTGTAATTGTTAAAGAAATCAGAATCTCTTTAATTAAATCTTATTCCAGCTTAATATTAGTTACACACTGCTAAAATCTTACAATCTTTTCAACATTATTTTTGATTTTAGAAATTGACCATGTCGTCTGGTGAAAGAAATTTGTCTCATCACTGAAATATTTTTTATCATTTCTTATTCTTTATGGAATATATATTTTGTATTGTAGGCAGTTTTTTTTGGAGGTTTAGACCCGTTATTACGACATGAAGCTTGGCCATTTCTACTCAAATTCTACCCGTTTAGTTCAACTTTTGAAGATCGTGAGAAAATACGAAATGATAAATATATACAATATCATAATATCAGAAAAGAAAGGTAGGAGAAAGTTTATATTTTTGATAATTTCAAGTTCAATTTTCTTTATTTTAGTGACAGTGGAGAAAGGCATCATAATTAAATGAGTTTTTATGGTTGTTTTTAGAATAATTGTTTGGGGTTTTTGTATGTTAATGGATTCTGTTTTTACAGTGTCTTTTGTATCTGTGATGTAAAATGTGTAAATCTAGGCAAACTCGATCAGACTTTTAATTTAGATTTTAAGAGTGGTCAATAAATTTAAATAAAGAGAATAATCTAAGAAAGGGAGATGTGGTTTTGAAATTTTGGTTGAATTTATTTGAGTGTTTAGTAGCAAATCAAAGTGTTCAATCATCAATTTATGTTTTTTTCAGGGAATCAATGCCAGAGAAGGAAGCTGAGAAGTTCTGGAAGACGATACAATGTACAGTAGAGAAAGACGTAGTTCGTACAGATAGAAGTCATCGTTATTTCAGGGGTGAACATAATCCTAATATAGAAATACTGAAGTATGTTTTCATTTATTAAATCATAGTGACAAGTTTTTTAATCAGTTTTGGGTGTTGTTTTGAGGCTGGGTACTTATCTAAATTTTGGCATCCAGAACTTTAACGAGCGATAATTGGCTTGCTCATTATTAAAAAATTCATCTCTTAGTAAATTAGTATAAGTAAATATACACCAAGTAAATAATACTAGTTTTTTTTTATAGATAATACTATTTTTACAACAAACCTTCAAGTACCATGTAACAAAGCCTGATTCTTAATCCTTAAACGAAATTTAATATTGTTTTAAAAAACATAACAAGACAAATTCAAACTTTTAATATTTTATAGGAATATATTATTAAACTACGCGGTGGCCCATCCTACAATGGGGTATACCCAGGGTATGTCTGATCTATTATCACCAGTACTCGCTGAGATTCAACATGAAGTCTACGCTTACTGGTGTTTTGAGGGTTTAATGCAGCGTACGATATTTGTTAGTTCACCTCGTGATAGTGATATGGATAAACAACTGGTATGTTTTAAATTTTCTTTATTTCAATCTTTGACTCTTTGAGTTTGAATGAAATGACACATCATGAACCCTGAAATTCAAGGATAATTAAAGGATATGACAGTAACATTGTATAGTTTATCTTGTGATTATGTGACCAGTAGAGAGAGTGATTTATAAGGTTAAGGAGAAAAACGTAAATGTAATTCTCTGTAACTGTTGAAAAAAGGTTTAGTTTATTTCAAACACAATTTAATATAATGCCACGTATTTTCTATATTTTGATTAAATTGTTTAAATTTCAGAATTATCTAAGAGAGCTGTTACGTCTGATGGTACCAAAATTTTATCAACATTTAAAAAAACTTGGTGATGATGCTTTAGAACTGTTGTTTTGTCACAGGTAATCCATCTACTGTTTTATTTCAACCAAATCAGATTTCAGATTTTCATTTGAAATCACAGGCAGAGTAAGTCTAAGGTTTCTGTGGATAGCCAACTTACTAATTTTTCCTAGGAATTGTATGAAGATTTAAGTCAAGATTTTATGTAAATAACCAGTACCAAATATATTGTTAGTTGAATATTTCTTCTACTAGTTATTCTATCTCAAGGTTATTACTGTTTGTGATATTATAGAAATATTAACAGTCAATATAACATGTATTATCAACTAACATTTATAAATTTCTAATTTTATTCTGTGTTTTATTTACAGATGGATATTGTTGTGTTTTAAACGAGAATTCAGTGAACGAGATGCGTTGGTAATCTGGGAGGTCTGCTGGTCTCATTATCAGACGGACTATTTCCACCTATTTATCTGCGTGGCTATTGTCTGTATCTATGGTGACGATGTCGTGGAACAGAATTTACCGGCTGATGAAATTCTCCTCCATTTTAGTAGTTTAGCTTTACATATGAACGGACAGGTCGTGCTGAAAAAGGTAAATATTCTAGAATTTATGATCTTGAAATCACCATCATCATTGTATCCTCAAATAGTGTAAATCAAATTCCTGGATGTTTTTAGACTTGACTCAATGTTTTAAAAAATAACAAAATAACTTTATTTTTCAGGCTCGAGGTTTGTTACATCAATATAGAAAACGTCGGAAGATTCCCTGTACTTTACACGGACTCTGTACCCACTGTGATCCGGGAATGTGGGACAGTGGACACGTACCAACTGTAGAATGTATTGGACACCCTGGAGACACGCCCTGTCCCTATTCCAGCACCCCCAACTCTCCTGAAGATTAAGTATGGAACAAATTTAAATTTTACTCCATTAAACACTGACTCAAACCAGAAAGAACAAAAATAGTCTATACATATCTTTTAAAGATCCTGTCTTACATCATGCAGAGAAACATTCTTATTTTATCAAAGTTTACAGATTTTATGATCAATGATTCTTTCTATCAGATTTTATCTGGCCAAACTATAAAACTTTTATTAATAATCCTAATATAGTAAATACTATACTTTCAAATCACCATACTGCTAAAATACTATTTTTAATTTGGAATTTTACTTGTAAAATAGTAAAAAGTTCACCAGAGTTATAATAACTATTAATCATAACCAACTATAAATTGTTGTTCCTTTGATTCCTGATTTGTTGATGTTAAATTTCTCCTGACCTCTGAATAGGCAGCTACCTAAATTCCCTATTTTATAGTGTAGCTATTGTATATTGTCAACATTGTATTTATTTATAAAGAATTTATATATTGTAAACATTGTGTATAATATAAACTTTGTGTTTTGTAAACATTGTGTATATTTGTGAACATTGTGTATATTATAAACATTTGGGCATAGTGTCAACATTGTATTTATTGTAAACAAATTGTATTTATTATGAATTGTAAACATAAATATTTATGTATATTATGATTATATTGCATAATGTAAACATATTGTAAACATATTGTAAACATATTGTAGGCTTAGTCAAGCGAATATATTTGTGCCAATTTAAAGCATAAGCAGATTGAAGCTTTCCAGTATATTTTTAGCTAATCATAAGTAATAATGAAAACAATATTAGTTTGACTTGTATAGTTTCTATTATTATTTATTCTACCTATATATAAAGTGGACTGTTTGTGTTTTATTTTGAGGTAGTGTAAGTAATAATGAACACAATATAAGTTTATTCTGTATAGTTTCTATTATTATTTATTCTACCTATATATAAAGTGGACTGTTTGTGTTTATGTTTGAATCATTCTGGTGGTTCATATTGAGTTTCAATCTTCATCAAAGTTAGATAACTCGGTGTGATTTATTTGGCTTATATTCTATGTATTTATGTGTTAATGTGCTCTCACATCATAGTGATTACAAGTTGTGTATGTTGTGAATAATCAAAGTGATCATGATTTCAGAACACAATCTAACAACTCAGTTATATGACAGTTGCGTTTGAAACTTATTACCTCTATTTTTATTCTGAACTATACACAACTAGTGACCTCTGGTGTGAGAGCCTCTTTAGGTTTTAATGAACAATGGCTAATTATTCTAGAACAAACTTTTCTGTTGTTTGTCTACAGATTGAGTCTTTGTATCTATATCTCGTGCAATATCTAGCAATTTATTCTATTATCACTATTGTGCTATTTTAAGCTTTTTTTTTTTGTTGTAAGCTTTCTGTGTTTTTTAAATTTCTAGCTGAAGAGGTGGATCTGGAGCTTATTAAACCATGTAATCTCTAAAACTTAGATATGTAAATAATTGGGGGCAAAGTCCAACTACAGCAAATTGTGTTTATTTTGTCTCATTGTTATGCGCATATTAATTAGGAATATTAATTTATTGTGTGTGTAATTAGAATATCAAGGACCTGTCGTTTTAAAATATCAGTTTAAATATTTGTAGAGATCAAAGGAGAAAAAAATGCATTAATATTCAATCTGATTTGAATGAAGATCACCAGATTTTTCCTGGGGAATCACTAAATATTGAGTTTTAATTCCACAGCAAAATAAAGTAAGCTTGATTTGCATTTTAAACGAAATGATTTAATATCTGTTTTGTAATGCTCTAGATTTGTAGATTTTAGAGTTCTATTTATATGATTTTATTCTCATTTTTCAGGGTAAATATTACTTTTATTTTTAATAAAATACATTCTAAGTTGAAGTCACAGGGTAGAAGTATTATAATAATTTGAAAGACATTCCAAGTTGAAGTCACAGGGTAGAAGTATTATAATAATTTGAAAGACATTCCAAGTTGAAGTCACAGGGTAGAAGTATTATAATAATTTGAAAGACATTCCAAGTTGAAGTCACAGGGTAGAATTATTATAATAATTTGAAAGACATTCCAAGTTGAAGTCACAGGGTAGAAGTATTATAATAATTTGAAATACATTCCAAGTTGAAGTCACAGGGTAGAAGTATTATAATAATTTGAAAGACATTCCAAGTTGAAGTCACAGGGTATCAAGAATAATGTATTTTTGAATTATTATTTAAAAGAATATAAAGTGACAGAGTATTTAAGATAATTATTTAAAACAGCACAATTTTTTGTTAATTGACCATTCCAGGATATTTTTTTTTTATAGAAATTTTTATCAATTTTGTCTACAATTAGGAACAAATTTATCAACATTCCTATTCTAGTTCTATATTTCTTTAGTTTTGTCACCTTGGTAAAAGAATTGTAAAGAGTAGAAATATGAATCAGCTGGTTAAGTGAATATGCCCATTTCCTTTAAATTCTGTACATTCCAGTATTACTGGTAATATACAGATATTCAGATATTCAGATAAAATATAATTAATTAGCCCTCATACCATACTGATCACCAGTTGTATATAGTGGCCAATATAACTAACAAAATGATTTTAATGTAACTGAGTTGTGTTTCATTATTCGTAACCATAGACAACTGATAATCACTATGGTGATAGGGTATATTAAAGTTAACTAATGTTATATATCTAGATATTGTAAGTTGATTATTATTATTATTATTATTGTGTATATTAAATATTTATCATGTTCTTGTCTATGGTAGATTAGATCCCCTTTTATTAACTCACTTTATATTTCTGAATTATTTGTTTATCTTGTAAATCTCTCCAGAAGTAGGTAATTTTCTATCAAATTGATATATTCCATACTGAAATCAACAGTCTCTACTTGTGACCTAGGCCAGTGCTTCTATAAGAGTATCTCTTATAAAACCTCATATAGATCATTTCTATAGTCCAACAAAGATATTTATGGGTTTGAGTTAAATTCAAATATTAACACGGGCAGATAAATATTTAACATCCCAATTTAAATTCTTAAATCAGGGCTGTTGATTTGATTGTATTTCATGGACATGACCGGCAGATCAGCTGAAATGTACGTTGTGTCAAGGAATTGTCAGACATCAAAAAGACAATTAAATAGAAAAATAATTTTATTGCATAATGACACAACAAGATTAGCATTAAGCCACCAATTAAGAATTACATATTCAAACAAGACAGAAAATCAAAATAATTTGAGGAAAGAAATGAGGCCATCTTCAGCATTCAATCTCTTCCATCAACGTTTCTAAAGCGTCTTTTATTTTTAAACAAATTTCACCAAGTTTTAACAAAATAAATACAAGAAATGATAGACACAAAATAAAATAGAACCATGTATAAAATAGAGTAAACCATCCTAGACAAGACAATGATCCCAGAGATAGAAATAATATCTAAAATGAAATAAAATCCTAACTTTCTATACCTTAATCTTATTAAACTTGATAAAAAAACACAAAAAACAAAATACCATTTTCAAATTCAAAATTACAGTAAAAATCTGATCTGTTATCAAAATTCATACGATGAATAAGTCAAGCTAATAAGGAATATAATTTAATATATGATGAAAATATCAAATCTAAAATGGAGCTGAAAAGATAATGAGTAATCTGTGATAACAGTTAAAGGTGCCAGCATACAAATGGTCATGATTGGCAATTTTTGTCATCGACTAGAGTCTTGTCAAAGAGTTTCACGGAGAGTAAGCACAGGAGGAGACAAAAAATCTCCAGTTGGTCGTTTTCCACTAGGTCAATAATAATATATATAATATCAATCACGTAATTGAAAGGAAAATGAATCTGATTGGATGATGACACTCTGTCTTGCAGACGATAAAACAATCAGCAAACATTGTTCCTGTAATATGCAGAATACCTACCAGTATTTAACAGATTAACATAAAGAAGATTATATTGGTCTAGTCTGAGAGAGAAGATTATATTGGTCTAGCCTACGAGAGAAGATTATATTGGTCTAATCTGAGAGAGAAGATTATATTGGTCTAGTCTGAGAGAGAAGATTATATTGGTCTAGTCTGAGAGAGAAGATTATATTGGTCTAGTCTGAGAGAGAAGATTATATTGGTCTAGTCTGAGAGAGAAGATTATATTGGTCTAATCTGAGAGAGGAGATTATATTGGTCTAGTCTGAGAGAGAAGATTATATTGGTCTAATCTGAGAGTGAAGATTATATTGGTCTAGTCTGAGAGAGAAGATTATATTGGTCTAGCCTGAGAGAGAAGATTATATTGGTCTAGCCTGAGAGAGAAGATTATATTGGTCTTGTCCGAGAGAGAAGATTATATTGGTCTAGTCTGAGAGCACAAAAACACATTAGAAAATATAATTTATAATACAAATTACTATCAAAAATATCATAAGTTTCATTAATAAAACACTACAGGTTTCTATAAAACACTACAGGTTTCTATATAACACTACAGGTTTCTTATCTTCTCCAACAACATGAAAGACAAAGTTTAATCTTAATTTTAATTTTTTCAATTTTCTTTCGTTTTAGAATAATAGAACACAAAATCTTTTATTTCTCCTAAAAAAAATAGTTCTTGTTCTGAATATTCTAAACCCACTCTATCTGGATATTTAGACAATTTCCACTGGCGTCCATATATTTCAGTGAGGTCCATATATTTCAGTGAGGTCCTTATATTTCAGTGAGGTCCAAGGATTGAGCTGTTTCCATGATTATAAAACAACCACAAGGTGGAGCCACAAGGTTTGTAAATATAACGTGTAATCAGTGTGATAAAACAAGAACACGTCAACTCCAGTATTTCAGCCTCGCTCCAATCACAAGTTTACTCTTTTAGACATCTATCTGTAATGTCCACACATTATTTTTTCATGATTTTTGGTAAAAAACTTTCGACCACTAACAGAGCGACAAAAAGTCGACAAATTCCGAGCCATGACAACAACATCCTGTTAATTCACAACTTCCTCACACAACAGAGTTAGATTTGACGGAAATTAGATATTTACAATAAGTATTTTAAGTTGGTAAAAACACAGAAAGCCCGGCTTTATTACATCTTCTACAATGTCGAGTAAAGTCCAAGTATAAAATAGCGAGGTTCGAGAATTTAAACGTTTTCGATTAGTTTATTAACTGTGGTATAAACACTGACCACGCTACAAAACACACCAACAATAATAATCACAATATCTTTTATTTTTACACAGATAGACATAGTCGTCCAGGTGAGTTTAAGATGAAAAATACACGGTAAAATAAACGCTAGCAACGTACTGCCTATTCCTCCTGAAAATTTCAAAATAAATTCTTTAAAGGGTTAAAATGAATCAATAAATAGTGATCAAATCCAAATTGGCGAAAAGGGAAGTGGAAAATTAGGAAGAGGCGAAATAAGAATAGATTGGAGACGAATTAGGAAGGGGAAATAATGGAATAAATGGATATAGAATACCAGCAGGTTGATGAGTTAAAATTCACCAACTTATGCAAAACTGTTTGGATAAAGTGAACCACGGTTCCATTTATTTATTGATTAAGGCTTGGGTTTTCACAATGCTGTATGTTTGGATAAAGTGAACCACAATGCTGTATTAAACTATAAATGAATATTAACTGTAATAACTTACCAACAAAAGCTAAGATATAAGCGAAACTATTTCTAAATAATACAGCCAGACCTGCCGCCATCAGAACCAAAATCATACGCACTAGATTTCTCTTCCATCCTGCCACCTGGATAATAAATAGGAATATTTCTCAAAACTTAGTTTATACATTTCAAAGGGAAAAAGTTGTCTTAATATTTGCTCTATGTAAAAATGTCAGATGTCAGTTGATAGGTTTTCTGCAAAAATTGGGGGTCAAGAGAAAACAACTCATCAACAAAATATAAGAAAGAACGAAACAACTATATTTTACAAGGATAACAACTTAGGTTCACAGTTAATCCTTTCTACCAGCTGATCCTTGACCAAACCTCTTGGCATTGATCTTTCCCGGATTATCTGTACCCATATACAGCTGGGTCGACCGGATTCATGAGAGAAGATGACTTATTCAAGGTCATTGGACTATCACACGCCGATCGAGAATTGAACCCACAGCTGCCATATGCTTGACGTAACCAAGTAAATGACGACATGTAATGAACCAATGCTCTAACCAAAATACCTCAAGAATTTATATACTTTTAGTTACATCAAGGACCTATATTTTCTATCAAAAACTCAACTAAATATTATATTACGTAAGAGAAACATATTTTTAGAAAGAAATTGGTGACGTACCTCATGTGAAATAGTGGCGGCAACAGGAAGTGAGATATTAGTTCCTGTGTTGCTAGGTAACAGAGAATCACGATCACTGGCACTACGGAATTCATCATCATCATCGTCATAATATTTCTTCTTCGGGGCACAAATACGACCTGAAATGAATGGAGTTTTCTGTCCTACATTTTGACACTTGATAATTAATGCTGATGAAGACAGACAACGCCATGCAGTGTGGGATGAGGGGAATTTACGAGGGCTGTCAATGGATCTTTAACAGGGTCTCATTTAAGAATATTAAGATGTAATACCTACCCTCAGCGAATGTATAAATTTCTGCTAATTCTATAACAGGGTACATCATTAACGGAAACGTTAGCACGACTCCAAACAACAAACAAATATTAACGATCAGCGAAAAATCACTCCCTGCTGGTAAATTAGCATTTAACATTTGTTGAACACCAGTACCGAATCGTAGATATCCCATAATTCCAAATGATGTCAAAACAAATGATAAGAAGCCGATAGCTCCGTGTAAAAAAGGTCCGAAATTATGTCTGTTGCCTTCCATACTGGACTCAATTGGAATCACCTGAAAATATAAAATACCACCAAAATCAATTCAGGTAGATATGAAAATAAGAACCTACCTAACTTGCTTTTTCATCCAATCAGAATTTTCTGGATAATTTAATGGTTAAGAATTTCATAATCATGTGACATTTGACTGACAGCAAACAAGTTAGATTATATTAAGTAAAATTTTCATGGTTAAGTGCTGGGCAGAGTTATTTCGCTTATTATTGAATTATATTAGGCCAGAGATTGGCCGAATTTTTAGAGAAATACCAAAGAAATATGTCTACAATATTGTCAGCCTGGTATGATAATTGTCTAACTAATTATTTTGAAAATTCTATTTTATTGCCCAAATCACTATCCATGCATGCGTGATGATATGGGTATAGAAATAAAATTTTATCAAAATATTGAGTTAGACAATTATCATTATAAAGACAAGTATATAATGAAATTAGGCACACATTTGTCTTGGATCATTTCAAAATGTCTAATGTTCTAATTTTTATAAGCCTGATTGAATACTGAGAAACACCATGGAGTGAGCAATGAGGAAAGTTTCACCAAGACAGCAGCATCAATCTTATTTTTTCAATGTGAAATATCAAGGGATCTTTTATGTATATAGTTTTATAGTTTTTATCACCAGGACCTTAGTTTATTTACATATTGGAATGATTAGATACTCCAACTATTACAGGTTTGTTTCCTTGTCAAATTCTAACCCACCCCACTTTTTAGGCTTCAGTGTTAAAAATTGACTGATATTGTCCATATAGTTATAAATTATAAATATTATAATATCATTTTTCAAATCTATGTTTATCTTTATAGTAATTTATTTGTCTGATTTGGACATGCCATAAATATACTTTTAATAAACTATTACCAGCAACAGGTTGGTTATTACACACTTCATTAAACACAATGATAAATTGATAAAAATATATTGATATAGTTAAGTTGGGTGTAACATTGAATAATGGAGTCTATCAGTAGACGGTTTGACTGATTTTTTGTCATCCTTGAAATTAGTCTCTTTTAAAAATCACAGTGAGTTACCCTTGAATTCTACCAAAACCAGTATTCCCCTGTTTCCCCATTTCAGTCATACTACTACAGCCAGTTGGCCAAGATACCGGTTTCAATTCTGGCATAAGTTGAAATGAGTGCCGGTATTTCTGCTGTGAGAGATGGTTGGTGGGCTGGGTCAGAGGGATAGACACATACCTTCATCAGTACTGTAGTTTAAATCTAGGAGTCTATAATAAATGATTATGCGTAGTTGTTAGAGAGGCCGTTAAAATAATACTTACTGTACCAATTCCTTCAAACGCTCCGGCAACCAGACCAAAAAATACCGGTAAACCTTCATATTCTATTAGTTTGTACGTCTTACTGATACTGAACCCTAAAATTAATAAGATAACATGTAAGGAAGAGTTTAATAGAGAGTTGAGGGTATCAAAGATAGTTTTAATATGGTGAAATAGCTATGGCAGTGGAATTTTTATGGTTATGAGCATCTAATCACCTAGCAGATGTCTAGAGCACTCAGTGACTAGCAGACGCCTAGAGAACTTAGTGACTAGCAGACGCCTAGAGAACTTAGTGACTAGCAGACGACCAGAGCACTCAGTGACTAGCAGACGACTAGAGAACTTAGTGACTAGCAGACGCCTAGAGAACTTAGTGACTAGCAGACGACTAGAGCACACAGTGACTAGCAGACGCCTAGAGAACTTAGTGACTAGCAGACGCCTAGAGAACTTAGTGACTAGCAGACGACTAGAGCACTCAGTGACTAGCAGACGACTAGAGAACTTAGTGACTAGCAGATGTCTATAGCACACAGTGACTAGCAGACGACTAGAGAACTTAGTGACTAGCAGACGCCTAGAGAACTTAGTGACTAGCAGACGACTAGAGCACTCAGTGACTAGCAGACGACTAGAGCACTCAGTGACTAGCAGACGACTAGAGCACTCAGTGACTAGCAGACGACTAGAGCACTCAGTGACTAGCAGACGACTAGAGCACTCAGTGACTAGCAGACGACTAGAGCACTCAGTGACTAGCAGACGACTAGAGAACTTAGTGACTAGCAGACGACTAGAGCACTCAGTGACTAGCAGACGACTAGAGCACTCAGTGACTAGCAGACGACTAGAGCACTCAGTGACTAGCAGACGACTAGAGCACTTAGCAGGCCTACTGACTAAGAAATAAAATAAATTGTGCTTACCATCAACTAAAAATACAATAATAGAAACACATCCAACTAAAATAGAGATATTAGCTGCCACACTGATTGGTCCAAGATGGCGGAGGTTACGAATGTACGAGAAGAATATAAACAACGGCAACGGAATGAGGACTAGTAATTTTAACGATGGTGCCGTCGATATGTAAACTTCCTCTGAGAATGTTGACCAAGAATCATTTTGAGTTGAGGTATTTCTGGAAAGTTCTGAGTCTATATCGGATAAAAATGGAAAAATTGAGTTCATGGAATCGTTTACATTTGTAAAATTTGAGGTATGATTGTCTAAACTTTCCGACAAGTCTCGAAGAGTTATCAACCTTGGAGGGGGGTCTTTTATTAAATGATCTCTTCGGCAATTAGTTATAGTAAATTCACTCGCGTTCGTGAAATTTTTATGTAAATCACAAGTATCTAAGGGAAACGTTGCGAAAATGGTGTTTCCAATCAGAATGAAATATCCAACACAGAAACCAAACTGAGTCAAAAACACACACGCGTTAACAATATACAACCCCAACTTTCCCATCGACAGCTGGCCGACATCTCCGTATGTCATACTTCTCTGGAGTTGTTTACGAATCTTCATCAACTCTTCTTCTTCGATGACTTCATCTTCTTCAGCGTTGCCATTGGTTACCCTTAAATTACGTTGAGCGTCGACAACGTTTCTGATGGCTTCGTATTTACATTTGACTATCAGTTTACAGCAATGATCTGTTAATACAGCGATAAAAAACAGGCCCACAATACCTGCCTGGAAATAAAAAAAAAAAATTACGATAAACTTTGGTTTCAGACTAATCTGTAATCCACCTAAAATATGTTCCCAAAAAGGTTTTGCAGTTTGGATGATCAACATCATACATCGAATGTACAGATCTCCATCTAAACTGAAAATTTGATATTTTTTTTGTCATTTGACCGACACGTTAAAAGGTTAACAATTTACTTACAGCTAAACCACTTTGTCTGAACGCAAACGCCACACCAAGATAGTTAGACCCAATGAAAGCTTTCACCATGTTAGCAAAATCTGACAGGTTGGTATGCCAGTTCACCACCCTGGGGCTGAAATAAATAGAATTAAATTTATCAGACCCGTACACTTTAGGGCAGGATTGAGAGGGGGTGGGTGTGCCAGTTGATCACACTGGGGCTGAAATAAATAAAAATACATGGGATGTATAAAACCCTGAGTTAACTCGTCTTAACAACTTATTGACATAAAGATGTAATTTTGAAAACTAGTCGTGGTTTTGGTTTAATAACGATCAAACAATCTGAAATATCTTTATACATGGCTTCGGTTGTGAGCAATCATTCAAATAACGGAGATCAGCGGTAACAAAAGAATTAAAGACAGTGTAACATGATTGCTGTGGGTTAGTTGAAATATTACAGCTTTTTTTAGACATAGATGTTTGTGGATGTTAGCGTACGTCTACCATATTAACTAGGCCTAGTGAGAACTCTTAAGCTTACTGTCTAAAATATTCAAATATATATAGTGAACGAATTTTCTCTCATAACAATATCTTATCAAAAGATGTCAACTTGATAAAATAATCATGTTTATAAATTTCTCAACAATCTACTTTCAATTTCAGTTTGTGCTAGCTGAGTTGTCAGACAACTGTCAGGTGTCAAAAACCAACAACAGACACAAACCAAAATGTCTGCTAACAAATTCTTTACCTGATTTCTATTGGTAGAGTATTCTCCATGCTGAATTCAAGCTTGATTTTGTCCCATTTACTGTTGCGTTAACTAATCAACCCATACAACGTCTGTTATCTATTCAGTTCGCACTTTCTTAACTCCATCTTACGATAACTAATCAACCAGTCCCTTTATCACTCTTTAAAATTCTCACTATGACAATCGAGACTAAAATTGATTACATGACATCATTTTAATCTACTTTATTTCTATGACGTCTGATTGGTTGAAATCTGAAACATCAGCCAATGAAACATGTGGATGAATTGTCAATGGCGGAAATTTCAAAGGAAGAATGTAAACAAAATAAATTCTTGAATATTTTGATCATTTTCAGGTATTTCTAGTCGATTTTTCTCGATTTCATTTATAAAACGTAATTGTGATTGTTTAACTGACCTCGACTGAATAGTTTAAAAGGAAATTCGTCGATATTTATTGCTGAAACGACTTTGTTTTGGTCTTCAGACACTTCAGTAGTTCAGTTTTTAGACGGCGGGAATGTTTATAACATAAATCTAAAGCTAACCGGAATTATCGAAACAGACCCTTGTCAAATGAACAATTAAATAATTTTGGTTATATTACATTTTAGTTACAATCTTGTTCGTAACCCGTTTTTTGATTAAATTTAACCGTATGAAACATTTTAATCACAATAATACAAATTCATATTAATCTAAGCCTAAATCTATTTTTGTTAGTTTTTAGGCCATTTTGTATTATGGTTTACACTAAATTTAGAATCACTAATAAATGATCACAATGTTATAATATAGGGGCATGTGACATGGTTTTCCTCATTTCACACTCAATAGCGTTGTCTGTTTTCATTACAGTTACCTGAACCTGAACATAAGAAAAGTAAAACATTAAACTTGTTCATTTCAGTATCTGACCATGTCTACATCAGAAGAAAATGAATACGAAGAATGTACGTCTAACGCTACGGAGGCGTTGCTAGTAGTTACCAGTGATCATACAGATTTCGCCAAGAAAGATCAACTGCAGGAACTCTGGGATAGCATCAACGAAGTTAAACAGAGAACACAGGAGAGGTTACAAAATGAAATACAAAGTAAGGTTTTGGTTTTAAAAAAGTAGCTTGACATTATGCTTATGGATTTGAAAATACAGCCGTTCCCAAACTTTGTAGACACCCAATTCAATTACAACGAAAAGTTCTCGCTCCGTTATGACTTAAAATATTTTTACTGGGATTTAAAAATATCACAATCAAGTACATCAATTTCTCTTACGAAAAATTTAAAACAATTTGGATCAGAATTTGAATCTTAACTGGCACTCTATATAAAGTTTAAACGTAAAAACTTTGCATGTTACTTTATAAATTTATGACATAATAAAAATCTTTCTCTTACAGATCTTCAGAATATGGTAGAAAAAGCTGAAACTGAAGAAAAACAAGAAAATGTGGAAAGAAAAGAAGAAAAACTAATCACACAATGTGAAGAGATGAAAATAAAACTAGATGAGATTTCCAGCGATTGTGAAAAATATCAAAAGAAAGTGGCTGAGGAAGAAAAGGAAAAAGACATTTTAAAAAAACTTTTAGAGGAAGTCAGCAAAAATAAATCCTATTCTTTACCTAAAGCAAAGTGAGATTTATTACAATAGTTATTTCTTAAACTATCTGTCCTGATGAGGATTGTGTATCTGAAACACGTGTCCACAGTGAGATGAGATCTAGTCAATTTACAGGTCCTGTGTGCTACAGACTGTGAATGTAAAATATCTCTCGACAATGGGTAATGGAAAAAGAGTCAATAGTTGATGCCTCTCTCCAAGCAAAATGTTCTTCAATACAAACTGCCTGTCTTCATTTACTCGAGCGTATACAGAAATTTAAGACGTAAACCCCGAATCAGTTATTCGTTTTAACTCTGGTTCTCATGAAGGAATCTTGTTAAATTTAACAGGGTTCGCACAGCCTTGAAAAACCCTTGAATTCCGTCTTTAAAAACACATTTTCTCTTGAAAAGTCCTTGAATTTTGAGTTGAGTCAAATTGTGTATATTTTTATCATTAACCCCATTGACAAATATTAACTATCTTTATTGATTTCACAGTTCAGAAGTAAGGTACATGTGTATTCTGTCAGACTAATAATATCCTTGAAAAGTCCTTGAATTTCAAAGCCCAGAGTCCTTGAAAAGTCTTTGAATTTTTGAGGCAAAGTGCTGTATGAACCCTGTTTTAATTCTATATTTCAGATACAATGTCAAGTTATATTCCAACATTTCACGAATAAGATGGCAGTCTGATTCCAACTCAGATGAAATTAAAGGCTGTATCCTTTTTTTTTAGAATTTATACAATACTTTTTTTGGGATAAAAGGTATATAAATGGTATATGGGAAAATAAGACTCCTGCTCTGCACCAAAACTTTGAGAGAATGTCTATTGTATGTTATTATTTGCTTGTTAACATTTTAATTAGTGTAATATCCCAAATTGACAGTTTAACACACTGAACAAGTCTTGCCACTTTTACTGTATAATATATTGTATATTTTCTTCAGTTATTTTTCTTTCCTTAACTGACTGTATAGATATTTGTAACAAAGATGATATTCAACCATTTTGTTTCAATACGAAGACTCACTCTCAGTATTACATTACTAATTCTTTATGGGGCTTGATGAAAGAGGATTGGTGAAGGTGGACATGATCTAAACTTTCTTAAAACTTGATGAAAACTATCTCCTAAACCTACCCTGAAATTCTAGTGTTAAAGAAATACATTGTGAAAAAAATTCTAATAATAGAAGACTAATAAAGAAGACTAGCCAGGAAAAACAACATTCAAAGTCCCTGGAAAATGAATTTAATGGTGTTTAAAATGAGGTTGTTATTCTCTATTGTTTTATATAAAAGATGTTATAAGTTATATTACTTGAATTTCAGTTCATATGACATTTTATATTGTTCCCACTCGGTGTTCAAAGTGTTAACTCGGAAAAATTCTATTATGACTAAAGACTTGAAGCGAAAAATAACCTTAAAATTATCTGGTTATTAACTCTAGTGAGGAAGATGACATTGAAACTTCAAGTAAAACTAATTGATGGAAACTATCAAATGAAAACCAAAAAATCTGATTTGAAATGAGGACAATAACAATTGTTCCTAATCAAAAGAGACTGATACAGTAGATTGATATAGAGTGTTTGTTTGTAGTGAAAGGCAATGTTATCTCTTATAGTTAATTTTCTTGACCAATCATACTTTAGTCTCAGAGACAGGAATTTTTTAGCTTAGCCAATTAGTAATAGTGTTCACAGCTCATTGTGAAATTTGAGCCATCAAATCCATGTGTCCAGAATTATCTGCGTTTGAATGTTACAAAAAACCACTTGTCTTTTCTTGAGACACTGCCATATAGAAGATTATGGAACTATGTGATTTTCGTACATTTCTAGTACTTCTGAAGACTATTTGAACATGTTCAAGACCCAAATCAACCCCATATAGCCATTTAATACGTAGAAATAAAGATCTAGAAAAAAACAATGCTGTTATATTTTACATTTTCATTTATTTTGATTTTCATAATTATATTAATGTACATAAACCAAAATGAACCAATTAAATGAAATGAAATTGAAATGAATTACTTAAACACCGAGATCAGATTGGAAATGACATGAATTTTCACCTAAAAAAAAAACGTACATCGCAAATTAAAATAATATTTACAAAAATAATTCATTTCAGCACTTTTACTTTGTAATTTACATCTACATAATTAACCCAATTCTTATTAAGATAAAATTAATTCTTGTACTTCCACTTTTGTGGGGTACATATTTAACAAATTTGGCCAATTATTTTAGGGAATCAGAATATTATCTTGAATAAAACTGAAACCTGCCATTTACCAGTATTTACATTTTATACACTGACCAAATAAAGTCCAGCTGGAATATTTCAGGAGAAAAAAGTTATTATTATTACACTCCTGTCACAACATTGAAGTTTACAAAAATTGATGTGATCCTTTATTGTAGATGAAATCTGTTTAGTTTTTAAGATTCAATTGAAATCAACAAGAAAGTAAAATAACTGGAATTATAGTTTGCTATTTCCTGATATTTACATTGAATACATTATACAAGATTCTCAACCAACAAAATACTCTTTAATAGTCCTACTCTCTTTATTTAATTTTAGACTCATCAGAAAATGAAACATAATTTGTCATTTATTTACATTCTATAAGAATGACAAACTACATCAGGCCACGTATTCTCGAAACAATCTTAGCGCTAGGTAATCCTAGAAACAATGTTAGAAGTTCAGACCCTAGGATATCCTAGAAACAGTGTTAGAAGATAAGACCCTAGGACATCCTAGAAACAGTGTTAGAAGTTAAAACCAAAAGACATCCTAGAATTAAGATCGGTTTCAGAAATACGTGGTCAGATTTCGATTCTCAAATGCCAATTTTTCATCAATTTTTTGAAAAATCTCTATCAACTGAAAATAATATTCACACATCAATATTTTTTGTTGTCTGTAGATTGGAATCCATGATGAAATTAACTAGGTGGTGGAGGGGGTGGGGGTGCTACCATCATGGGGTTCATATTGGGCATGTTACCATAGGAATTAGGGGGTGGGGGAGGAGGGACTGGGTTAAACCCCATCTGACTAGTTGGAGGAGGGGGTGGGGCTCCCATGGTATTCTGTACTGCGTTCTGTTGCCAGGGTGGAATAGATGAAGGGGGAGGTGGTGGGGGTGCTGCACCCATCTGAGGTCCCCAGCGATTGTTGTTGTTTCCGGGCGGTGGGGGAGGAGGCACTCCAGATACTGAAATAAACAAAATAAATCAATTGTTAGGCTCAGTTAAAAGCAGGCACATGGAGTCAATTTGACTGACATATCAAGATTTCTCTCACTAATGCACCATTTTAAGAAACATTTGCTTGTTCTGCCCAAAACTACCAAATTTGACAGATATTTTAACAAAAAAACTTGTTAGACATTTCCCAATATCTTAAAGCAAGGTGAATAAACATGAAAATTACAAACTTTAAAACAATCTATTGAGAATTAGATTGCATGAGGCCACATACCTTGATTTTGAAGCCAGGGCATGTTAGACATGGTGTTCTGGGGTTGAGTAGCAGGAGGGGGAGGGGGTGGGGCTGATATCATACTTGGTGGGGGTGGCGGAGGTCCACCTGAAATAGAAGTTTGGAACATTTTCAAAGAGAATTGGAAGATGGTCCAATTCACGAAGAATCTGCTTTTGTAGCTTTTATGTTATCATTGATATAATAAAGATACATTTTCTTTGCATTGTCAAGCGATTTTCGTCTTATACCTTGACTGCAATAGCCACTATTATAGTATCACAGAATGCAGCGATTTTATTGGATTCTAGGCCACCTAATGCAGCCAATCATACCATTTAACAGCCAGACTGTAAACATTGTGGTTTAGTGTTTACAGACTTTCTGCCGAAGACTCTGATTGGCTGTATTCGCTTGAGAACACACTAGGAGAAAAGAATAGTGGCTATTGTAGTCAAGGTTTAAGACAAAGTTTGCAATAGCTTGACATTGTGATAAGAAGGTTTATGAAGTTCAAGCTTGCATAGTTTTGATAGGATAGCTCGCCAGGCAAGGTAATATATTAAACAAGAATTGTGCCTTCTAGATTGTCAAGAGGAATTGTAGACCAACCAACGGACAAGGCTGACGCCAATATACACCCGCCATTTAAGAATTGTACGTACCCATCATCTGATTGTTATTTTGCATGCCCATTGGTGATTGTTGTTGCCATGGTGGTACAGATTGTTGATTGTTGTTACCCATCAACGGTGGGGGAGGGGGGTTCATGTTGGGTCTGTTCATCTGCATCTGTTGTAGATTAGGGGGTGGGGCTATATGTTGATTCATCAAGGGCTGGGGGGTACCAGTAAATCTAGGGGGTCCTTGATTTCGGTTATTATTCTGATTCTGTTGCCATGGTGGATTGTTAGCCTGAAAATAATAAATTATTAAAATTTCATCTCCTCAATCATCTTTAGAAATAATTGCCATCTCCCCGGCTGACCTTGAAAACTGAAATTTTGATCAAATCAAGTAGTTTAAACATTTCGGATCAATGAATTTCTGCAAAAATAATGACATTTCTTTAAGTGAATCCTACATCTAATATAAATTTCTCTACATAAGATGAAACAAAACTAGATTGCAATAAATGTCAACCTGTGGCTAAAAATGGAGTCAGTCACTGGGCCTTCCTTCCTAAAAAATCTAACAATATGTTAATTTTTACAAGTGTAATATTTTATTGTAAACTGGGACCATGATATACAGTTGATAATTCAACTTAGTGTGTTTATATAATTAAAACATAAAATGAATAACTACGCCTAATGTTTTGGTGATGAGGCAATGGTGTTTATTGAGATATAAACGCCACACGAATTTGCATCAGTCCAATGAACAAAACAATAGCTAACGTAAATATAGAATTAAAACGTACCATAGGATTTTGTGGTGACTGAAAGGATTGTCTATTGTTATTTTGACGTTCTGTTTGTTGATGTAGGGTAGGTCGTACTGTTAGGTTGGACCCTGGAGGTTTACTAGAGGGTGGGGGACCTTCTCCTAGCTCAGCCATCAACGACATATACTGAAAAAACAAAAAACATCAAAATTAAATCACATAAAAACACATCATAGTTGTAAGAAATCCTCAGAACAGGAGCACGTCATAAACTCATCATGGTGTGGATTGAGTCGGTGTGAATTTATTTTGTAGGTTAAAATTTCACAGAATGCTGCTTATTGTGTTTGCTGACTACTTATTCTTTAATATGTAGACTTTACTTGTCGTCTCACACCTTTGAAGCTGATATACATGTTTGGTACCCTAATGTGCACTAACATCATTTCTAGCCAAAAAGTGAGCAATTTTTGTTAAATCCTTTAATTTAAGATAAATTTAAATATATTTCTGTACCTCGCTGTCCATCTTGGCTTTATCAGCCTGTGAAACTATCGGCATGGGAGAATTCTGACCCTGTTGTAGTTGGAGACTTCTAAACGTATCTCCTGGTCTGGAAAATAAAATAATAAGTTAATAACAGGTTGTCATATGAACGTTGTAATTGTATCACTACTGGTTATCTTTCCCCGTTATATAACTTGTCCAGTTGATACAGAAAAGGATTCAGAAAATCAATAAGAATCAATATTTGTTAAATGCCAAGTCGTTTATCTAAGAACAGCCTTGTAGTCCTGATCTTCCAACACAGAAATTGTTATCTTTGTAAAATTATTGCAAAGAGGTTTAGGAAAGGATAAGCTGGTAGACATGATCCTTGTGAACCCAGGAGGTTTGAATGAATCCTAGAAAGCCTAAGTATATATATAAACAGTACATACCGTTTTTGTTTACAATCCTGAGCTATATGACCAGTTCCTCCACAACACGTACATAATATAGTATTAGTTATAATATTCTGGGCAGCTTGTAACTGTTTTAATTTACTGAAAAAAAACACATCAGTCATAATTCATTTCCATTTTTATTGTTCATATTAACATATTTAAACTCAGTTTGGACATTCTTTTATTAAATTTTGAATATGCATTTTCATTTGTAACGAGGCTTACCCTCTGTACAGTTTAATAACCTTGGGTAAATATTTGAACCCTATTATTAAAATATTCAATCAATTCATCATTTTTGGATGCATACTTCAAGACAAAATAGACATGACAAAAAAAGCAACACCAAAGGAGTATCATTTCATCTATTGAAAGGGCCAATAATAATTATAAATCTAAACTTACGCTAAGCCATCATTCTCTCTGAGTGTACCATTGAGTAAAGCAAGTTCTCTGAGTTGTTGTCGACGGAGATCATTCTGTCCTTCTGGTACGTCAATACCCTGAGCTATTATTGTTTTTATCTGGAAATATAGATAGATATCTTCATATCAAGAGCAATACAAAATACCAAATGTAAATAAAAATTTACTAACATTCAGTTTAGGTGTGACCAAAATATCTTATTAAATTTTTATCATACTTTTTCATAATCAGTTTCAACATGTAGGAAAAGAACTTTGAAAACTCAACTCACCTTTTCAACAGCTTTTTTGACACATTCTGGATTATTACCAGTAACGTAGGCGTGAAGGGGTTCGTCTTCCCCAGGGAGGGGCTGTCCATCTTTACGTCCTATTTTACCCTCTTTAACCGACCCTTTACCTCGGATAATAATCTTAGCCCCTGTCTGAAATTGATTTTAAAAAACTTCATGCAACCAAATTTAGGGACTAAAAAGTGATACACACTGATAAAAAATGAGTTCAATCGGCTGGTAAAAAATTATTTCTAACTATCGAGGGATCTTTAACATACACAGCCTGTAGCACACGGGGCCTCGGTTTATTGTCTCATCTGAAAGACTAGACGCTTTTTCCAATTCAGCCCCTCTTACTTGCATCACTGACAGAGGGAAACTGGGTTGAAAAATCTGAAGGTTTGAACCCTGGACCTTCAGGTTAGTGAGCCACCGCGGCTCCCAATCAGCTGGTAAAGAAAATAGAGAAATATATCAACCATGAAAAACAGTGTTCGGTGAAAAAGTTTCCCTGTTAAACTTACATCTTTCTCCAGTGTTTTTAAAGTATTACCACGAGGTCCAATCAATAAACCAACAAAATTTATATCAGGATGATCATCTTGTGGTATCATTACTTTATCATTGACTCGTACAATCAGAGGTCTAAAAATAGAATGATAGGAAATGATTCAGAGTTGTGTAACGTAAATAGATATTAGAAACTTACAAGTCTTTGACAAATTATTTCAGTTAACAATCCACAAAGGGTTTGAAATTTGATCTTCCCCATGTTAAGTTTTTCATAATTAATGAATGCAGTACAGGCCTACTTTTTTTATATAGATCAGAAATAATTGAAAATAGTGAAGTTTAGGGTCAAAGAAAGGTCAAAGTTCAATGATATTTTTGATATTTTAGTAAAAGCGTTAACGTTGCATGACGTCACTTGGTAACGGCCAGTTTACCAACCGCTCAGGTATATATTGCACAAATATGTGGTCAGTAAAGAGTTAATCAGATTATAAATAACATATATTCTATTGTAACTTACTTATAATCCATAGGAGGTTTATATTCAGCATTTAACTCTAAAGCTTCAGTCACTAATTTATGTCTTTCTTCTTCCAGTTTCTTCCGTGTTCGATATTCTCTCGTATTCAATCTCTTTCCTTCATTATTATAAATAGGTTCTGGTGACGGAGATCTGAAACAAGGGGAAATAATTCAAAATCTTGATATTTTATTATCTATAGGATAGGGAATAGTTGTCAGAGGCATCATAACTTTGTCGATTTAACTCATTTATTTGCAAAGTATATGACTGGTTCTAGAAATCAATTGCAGCACTTGATATGTTAAGAAGGAAATCATATTTTGAAAATATTCAAAAAATGCTGCAAGTGTCATCTCTTTTCATGAAAAGACACGGACATCCTAGCTATTTCTATGATCAGAATGTAAATATAATTAAGTTATATTGCTTCTAACAACTATACCAAAATAAATGTGGTAAAAATTTGACAGAGACTAACTTTTGATTTATATCATTTTTTTAACCATATTAACACCTATTATTACCAAACTGTTGAGAATGGTACACTGTTATTCTGTTCTAGACATTTGCTTTAAAGAGGACCTATATTTCAAGGATGCTAAATCAAATTCAAGTAAAGTTTTGACTAAATAATTCAATGTGTTTAACACTTAACAGAGTTCTAAATCATTCAAATATTATTGGAATAAAACAGATAATACGTTTAGTAAAATACCCTTTTTTTACACTGATAAACTTTTTGCATTTTAACAAATCAAAACTTACTGACTGTCAATCTTTTTACCACTAAATTAAATCAAAATCAAAATCTATATCAGACATCTAGGACAAGGGGATGGAGATATTAGAAAAATCTTTCAAAAGGCCAATTAAAAATTATTAATTAAAAAGGAAAAATTGATGAATTAATCTGTTCTTACTGAAAGTATATTGAGAAAAGGTAATTGATTAAAATGGTGGCCATGGCTAACGTAAAATAAAATATATTGAAAGAGATTATAATCAATATCAAAGAGAGATATATGTTAAAACATGCCCAGACACTTTCAAACCTTATTGAAGCTTAAAACATGCATTTCAATTTCAAAATATTTATAAACTTAAATTGGAAAGATAACTGCAGAAGACTTATATGTTTTGTCAGGTACAGATGATTTTAAAGTAGGCTCAGATGATCTACTTGACACCCCTTCATCTGTTTTCAACTCTTCCAAACATGCATGATTCTGATATATATGAGCATTTAAAAGACAAAATAAAGGGGTATTTGAGGACTGACACATACAAGCGAGCTTGATCAAATTTTGCACATCCCCTGATCTACTAAGCGAAACCAGATTGCTGTTTGATGATACAAATGGGCAATGTGAACACTTAACATGAAAGGGCATCATCCTTACCCCTAGGGCCCACCCAACCCCTCTACCCATAAAAAATCATATTCATTAAAAAAGAAAAACATTACTTGATTATAGTTGTACAGGACTTGATCTTGGATTTCAGAACAATAAGCCCAATTACAGAATTATAACTAAAATTTCCAAATCAAATTTTCTGAGTTTTTTTGTAAAGTTTCCTTTTGTTGTTAGTATCAAGTTTTTTTATGGGTAATTTCACACTCTGAGTATCATTTAAATGCTTTACAAGAGAATTATCATGAAATAACCGTGAAAGCATATCTAAGTCCAGACAGAAAAATATCTTTAATATTTGACTGATTGTGAAAGAAGAGCAAGTCATGTGGATATAAAAAAAAAGAAAAAGTTAACCAAATTGAAGATTTGTATGATTAAGGATTAGAGTTGATGGCGTCCGTCCGTCCGTCTCTCTCTCTCGGCCTCCAGCTGTAAAAATGAAGATTAATTCATCGTGTCAAACCTTAATTCTGGTAACGGTGGAATACCCAGATCTCCCGTTCGTAGTTTCCGCGATATTTCTTCAATCTGTAGATGCACTGTAAGACAAGTGATTAAAATACATTGTTTGATAAATTATGAATTTAAGATAAACAACACTAGCTAATCTGGACGGAGCCAAATCTTTCTTTGTAAAAAGTTTTCAAAGAGAATTTTCTTCCATTCTGGTACAATTAACGGTCAATATTAATCAAAAAAAAATCTGAAGATTGTATCATAAATTTAGAAATATTTGAGAATTCGCAGTTAAAAAAAATTCAAAAAATAAATTTGACATCAATAAATTACTTGACTGGAAATATTCTTGCAATTTTCTATATTAAACATTGACTTGTTTAATAAGCCAAAGTTTAAGCTTATAGTATAAGCAAATGTCCTAAATTTTTTAAATTCCAAATTAGCTAGCCCTTCCTGGTCTGTCTCCTCCTAATTCAAAAAATATTTCTCATTAGTCCAGCTTACCTGATCTTAGGGGGGTGGGGGAAAATTTTATACCTATGATGGGCCAAGGACAAAACTAAAAATATAAGGCCTGATGATGGACCAGGGACCAAATTACAAAATTTCAAAACAATTTATATCAAAAAATAAAGCACAGGCAAGGTCAAATAAAATCTTGAAGTTTGGGGCCGAGGCAAATTTAAAACTTAAATATAAGAAAGGGATAAATTTTTTAAAAATCTAGATTTCAAGGGATGTGAATTAATTTGAAAAAAAAAATAATTAGCACTGAAAGATAAGGGATTAATTTTGGAATAAAAAATAGATTAATTAATCAAGTAATTAGAATAAATATTAAATAGAATTGAGCTTCGTCTTGAAACCTAGACCTGGATGAAATTTTACGATTAGGAAGGAGATAAAAATAGATTAGGCTACGAAAAAATTCTAGATTAATTTATCATTTTCAATCTTACAGACGTGATATTCTTGGGGCGAGGCTTCACGTTATTTAGCAACACATGTCAATATCTAGCATTCTGCTCCACAAAAGATTACTCTATCTCAGTGAACCAATAAAACCCTTAGTTGCATAACAAAGTAAAAAGCTCTCTGTTAGCTAGTCAAGAGAAGCTTTGGAGTTTAAAATTTCAATGAACACACACCTATATACTGGCGTTGTTGTTCCACTGACATATTAGACGGCAGTACGGCAGGCATGCCAGGAATAACCGTTCTATCTTCATTATCTGTATTCCATCGACTCTTTCGTTTCCTTCTTCTCTCTTCTCGACTGAGGTTAGAATCATCTAAAAATAAAATATTGTCTGTCTTAGACTCTAGATAACTATGTTTTAGTTGCCGTGTGCCTTTCTGTTTTCAAACATCCCTAGATTTCAAGGACTTTGAACTTTTCTCGGAACAAAAGAAAAGAAATCGGGTTTTGTTTTCTACTATAAGACTATCTGTTCAACTTTTATTTTGTATGTGGAGGAAACCACATGGATGAAATCACTAGGGGTGGAAATTGGAAAGAGGGGAATCTCTGCTATACTGCATCATCATGCCATCTCAATCTGTAACAGGTTATGCTAGTTTAAATCTATCACATCCCCATAGAATAAGTTAGCTTCTACTCTGACTCTAACCCCTGACTACAATAAATTCAGACAGTAGGTAATGCAGATTTACAGTTTAAGATACAACTGATAGCCTTTTTGACATTATAGTGGAGTATAGAAAATGTAGAGAAGCCATTTGTTAAAAGCATGGGAACAAAGAGTTCATTGACCTCACACAAGTAAACAAGGACATAGCCGGGGAATGGGGGCACTTGACAAAGGTCATAAATTACAGAAAATTTCCCACAAACAATTTACCTTCCTCTAATGGCCGTTTGCCTGGAGTTCCAGAAAATGAATAACTCATTGCTAACTACTCAAAAATTAATCTAAATGATCAAAAAACGCCGAATTGTAGAACAAAATTTATGTAACACGTTTGGCAAATGGCGTCATGAAGAGTAGGTTTCTGCAAATTCTGGATTCCGTGGAACGAGGCATAACCCAGTAAATTTACTCTGGGTACATCTAGTGGCTTCAAAATCATTTGAAATAATAAGAATTTTTAATCAATGAATCGAAAAATTGTGAAATACAATGATAAACAAATTTTAGATTAGAAAAATTATTCCTTTTGTGATATTTTTCGAATGGAATATGTACACAACCCATATGTTTAAATTGAGTTATCCCCCTTTACAAAATGAATGATGCAAACACGTGAAAAATGAAAAATTGATAATAAATTCTGAATTATTTCTTTCAGAGGGGCTGGTCGTTTGCAGAAATTGCAAAAATGGTGAAGGAGCAGTTCAGAGAGGCCGATGTGGCCAAAAAGATGTAATGACATACCTATAATATCTTGCTTTATAAGGCCAAAAATATGGCTTTTTGCATGTTTTGGATGAAAAAAAGGGGGGGGGGGCTAGGTTGATAAATTTTGAAAGTGAATCAAAATTTAACTGCTATCTGAACTACACTGTGGCTGAACTTAATCCGAAACATCTGCCAATTCTAGTGTTGGTAGGGTCAGGAGAACCATGCCCTGTTTTATGGATGATTTCACGCACCTTTAAAGGTACCTCTTTTTGCAACATATTTATCAGGCTTTTAGCTGATTTGTTTGATAATCTACTTATTTTTGAGTGTTAAACCTTGTTTCTTATTTTCTGATTTTAGAAGCCATGTTACGTTTGGTATGATGAATTCTCAACAGATTCAACAGTTGTCTCATATCCAGGTGGTCAGTAAAAATCTTTATAACCAAGATGGCAGTCGGAAACCAATCGTTAATGGTGTCCTCGATCATAGAATGGTATGTACCAGTAACTTACAGTTTTTTGTTAATATACATAAAACCTTTCCTTATATTGGCAGATTAAAGCCATTAAATAATATACAAGATGGAATGGTGTCACAACAGATTTATTTTGGGATCAATCCTTTAAGAGTATAAGACTATTTCCTATCCTTCTCTGCAACGCTACAGAGAGTATGTCTCTTTTCTGTAGAATTTGTGGGTCTTGGTTTAAATTTTGGTCATTAGCAGAACAATCTAGAGCAGAAACATAGTTTTTTTTAAAATCATGTTGAGGAAATTTTGAATTTTGCAGGGTACAAGTGATAAGGAAAACAGTTGTGAATCGTGTGGAAAAGGACTGGTTGATTGTATTGGTCACTATGGTTACGTTGATCTGGAACTACCAGTCTTTCATATTGGATATTTCCGCACTGTTATAACTCTACTTCAAATGATTTGCAAAGTGAGTCCTGGACAATTCAATTTTATATGGTATGCTAACATTTCTAAAAAAAATTGAAAATAGACATATGATTTTTTTACAAAAGACCTAACATGAATAGACCTCTAACAGTCATGAGGTTTTGTTTATCTTTAATGTATTTTTCACCATTTTTTGATTACAGAATTGCAGCAATATTTTACTACAACCAGAAGATAAGAAGAATTTTCTCGACGCCCTGAAACGATCTGGCATGACGTACTTACAGAAAAAAGGAATGAAAAAAAAAATACATGAAAAATGTCGAAAAGTTTCCAAATGTCCAAATTGTGGAGAATATAATGGTAAACAATGAATAATTTTAAAATTGTTAAAAACTCTGATTTCTGACAATTAGATTAATAAGAACTACCTTAAATGCATTAGGACGTAGGTCAGGCTGTAGTCCAATCAGTTAGGGGTTTGAATTTACCATTATAGATTAAAACATGGAAATAATAAAACAGAACCTTAAACATGTTGTTACCCCTACACCAGTACCTTTTTCAGCCTTCACACCCCTGGAGCAATCACCTGGACCTTTCACACCTCCAAAAATTTGTTTCATTCACATTTCCAGCATGTGATGATGTGAGGTGCTCTCTCAATTCAAAATAAATTCTGCTCCTAAACCAGTTGGCCACACCCCTGACACCCTAGTCCCACACCCCTAGTGGGTGAAAACACCCCAGATTGGTACCGGGCCCCTACACTGTTGTAAAACAGACAAAAATTATAAGGTTATATCAACTCTTTGTAGGCTGAACTTTCAGTGAATCTTAATATGCCTATTGATGAGGGCAAATTTCTGAGAACTATTAGATGATTGTAAGAAATTATCTTTTCTTTCAATTCTTTTTTTTACTGATTTTAATTTTAAAATCTTTGTAAAGGAATGACGAAGAAATGTGGAATGTTAAAAATAATACACGATTGTTATAAAGCTGGTCGTCGTGGTGGAGAACAGATACTAGCAGAGTTCGTCGGTTCGTTTGATAACGCTGTCAAACATAATAAAGAATTAGAACCAATGCTTGGAAAGATTCAGGTAGAGTTACTCACAAATTTTATTTTAATGTCTTCAAAACTACTTGCTCAAACATTTTCATGATATAACTTTGTAGATTGATTTAAAACAGAGAGAATGGGATATTATAATCGTTGAAATGTTGATAACCAATACAAGTCGTTAATTTTTATAGACTCATATTTCTCTTTGTAAGTTATAAAATATGAAGATAAAATGGGAATTGAAGAAGTTTATAGAGGGAAGTCAAAATATCCTTTCTCACAAACTTTGGTGAAAATTTCTCTAAATGAGGTCCTGTCTATATTAACCTACATGGTTCAGGAAAGTAGGATGTAAAACTCCATTCATTTCATTTCTAAATGAGGTGTATTTGAATAGGATCAACTATCTTATTATTTTTCAGGACGTATTAAATCCACTGGTTGTTCTGAATTTATTTAAACAAGTCAAAGATGAGGTAAGATCAAAAATTTAGATTTTCTGAAACTTTAGGGTGTTAATTTAAAAAAATTTTCTTTGCTGTAGCTTGTATTTGTTTATGAAAATTGAGACCTTTAAGATTTTTATGTTTATAAAATTTCAGGATATTAAAACAGAATTTAAATCATGATTTTACTTAGAGTAACATTTCTATTTTTCTTTGATTGATGTTTTGAGCCCAAATATAACGGTGAAAATATTTTATTCTTGTTATTTCAGGATATTCCGTTATTGATGATGAATCCGAGCGTAGGACGACCTGAAGATATGATACTAACACGTATAGTAGTGCCACCTATCTGTATTAGACCCTCTGTAGTTTCCGATCTCAAATCAGGAACGTAAGTCTTTTGAATTTTTTTTTAGAATTTCAGTAATTTGATTTGATGATAAAACTCAGTGTCAGTGATCGACCAATCAGATGACCAATGATAATCAAAATTATTTTGAGTTAGTTTAGTAATACCTTATAACTTATTTTTCCTGATTTTAATTTTCTGATAGAAATGAAGATGATATTACGATGAAGTTTACAGAAATTATATTTTTAAATGACGTCATACAGAAACATCGAGCTTCCGGAGCTAAAATGCAGATGATCATGGTAAGAACTTTATAAAGATTTTTCAATTTATTTTAACCTTTTGTCATATTGGTCAAGAAAATTAGAGTAGTCTGATTGGTTGAAATATCCTAGATTTATAATCAATTTTTAGAGATTATCCAATAAAATCCGTCTTTAGCCCACATGGTGCAGAAAAGTAGGACATAAAACTCCATTTCATTTCATTTCATTTCCAATTAAAAAGTTAGCAAGTTATTTTTGTTTTACTTAGATCCTATAGTTTAGTAAAAGTTTATTCTGAATTTGTGTTTAAAATTGACCACCCCTATAAATTTGAATGGTGACTTTACGGCTTTAATTGAAGTATTTTCTCCCTGCAAAGATGAACATTGGAGCACTAAGGGTTAACTATCTGTTAAATTAATGTTTTCAGGAAGATTGGGATTTTCTGCAACTCCAGGTGGCGCTACTCTACAACAGCGAAACTTCTGGTATTCCTTTACACATGCAGGTAAATTTTCAAAAATCTTTAAGTTGTTTCATAGAAATATTTCACCGATTTCATTGGCCATAATCCCTAAAATTTTATATCATTTTGCATTAGGATGGAATGGCCTGTGAGCGCCCCCTGACAATTCTATGGTACTTACTCAGTTTTCTGATTTCATAAAAACTTCACTTCTGGGTACGAGCAAAAATTGCTGACCTTGAAATCAATATTTATGTAAATTATTGTCATTTATTTTCACAAAAGTTATTGAATTTTTCAGCCTAAGAAATCATCTCGAGGTTTTGTTCAGAGATTAAAGGGTAAACAAGGTCGTTTCCGTGGTAACCTGTCAGGAAAGCGAGTAGATTTTTCAGGAAGAACAGTTATTTCCCCTGATCCTAATATGAGAATAGATCAAGTTTGTATATTATAATTAGATACAGTGATAATTTTGAGCATGGTAACCTAATTTAGAATCATTCAAGAAAAAAGATGCAAAGTGGTTTGAATCAGAAATTATTTAGGAAATATTTTCATTCTCAAGTTGATGTTGTTTTGGGTGTTTGAAAAAAGGTTTTTATCTGATATTTTACGTTGAAAACTTACTTGCTTAATTTTACTTATTATATTAAAAATAATTGTTTCTCCTTGCTTATTGAATATAATTGTTTTCAGGTTGCTGTGCCGACACTTGTTGCTAAGATACTGACATATCCTGAACATGTAACGTCTGCTAATATTGAGTTGATGAGAAAACTGGTAAAAAACGGGGCTGACAATCATCCTGGAGCTAATTTTATACAACATCGGGGTGGTACTAATATTAAACGGTAAGATAACAAAAATTCTGAAGTTTTATCAACATTAAAATATGTTTTATTGATAGGTACTGATTACGTACTAGAGGTAACCAAACACCACAAGCTACAGGATACAGGATCACTGATATTCGTGTAACAAAACAGGATCAGAGACTATCAATCTGCTACATTGTGTCATGAAAAACATGTCCCAATGTTAATTATTATTCAAAGAATATTTAGTGTTTTTGAATAAAATTACAGTGTAAGGAAAACTAATATTTTTGTTTTTTTAGATTTTTAAAATATGGTGATCGAGAGAAGATAGCGAGTACATTGAGATTCGGTGATATCGTAGAACGTCACATGATTGATGGTGATATCATACTGTTTAATCGTCAACCTTCGTTACATAAACTCAGTATACAGGCTTTCTATGTAAGTTAATAATTTATGGTGAAAAATAATTAAGACAGATTTTTACCTTCTACTGTTCTGTTTGACCTAGTAATGATGTTTTATTTAAATTTAAAGGTCAAGTTTTATATCCTCATCATTTTTGAGCTAATAAGGATGGGTAAGGCCCTGCAATATGCCTTGTCTTTATTATTTTCTAACAGTCAAGGGATCTTGAACATGTACAGCTTGTAGCACTGACCTCCATCTTTGTTTCTCCGTGTCAGCCTCTCACCTGCATCACTGATGGGGTAACCAAGTTGAAAAATTTGTTTTAAATTCTTACATTTTTAATGTTTGATTGTTTTCCAGGCTAAAGTGATGCCAAACCGAACCTTCCGGTTCAATGAATGTTGTTGTAATCCATTTAACGCTGATTTTGACGGAGATGAAATGAATCTACATTTACCACAGACAGAGGAGGCCAAGGCTGAGGCCATCACTTTAATGGGGGTAGGTAGAATAGAATTGATGATTATTACACCAGCCAGATTTTGTTCATTTCAACTTGAATTAACAAGGGCTGTGGATCCATATCTTTGCTCGAAACTAGAACAATGGAGACTTTAAGTCCGACTAAAGAGGATTTTGTGTTTATGTTTTTAATGGTACTCAGATGTGCACAAATAATTTTGCCTGACTATATTATATGTGTATTATAAGTAACATGATACATTGTTATCTATTTTTCAGTCGAAATCTAATATGGTGACACCAAGAAATGGAGAACCATTGATAGCTGCTATACAGGACTTTATTACAGGTAAACTGTAATTCTGATATTTTATTATATTCCTTCTTTTCAACCTGAGGGGGGTCACAGTGAGTTAGATCTTAAGGGGCTGAAATAGTAAAAACGTCCAGTCGTTGAGATGAGGCAATTAACCGAGGACTTAGCCTTTGCACATTTTAGATCTTTGACAGTTGGAAATTGAAAAACTGGCTAATGCAGCAGTCCTGGCAAAATTTTTCATTTTTGCTCCCTGCATGGGTTTGCCCTTCTTCATTATACAAAGCTGTGTTGAAAAGTAGGATGAAACTCAACAAAATTTTATATTTATAGGAGCGTATCTGGTGACTAATAAAGATGTATTTGTTGATCGTAGTCGAGCCTGTCAACTAGTGGCATCCATGTTATCTGCTAAAGACGAGAAAATCAAAATAGATTTACCACCTCCTGCTATCTTTAAGGTGAGATTTGACTTTTTAATAAAACCAAGATGGATGACAGCGGAGAAGGTCGAGAGGGGAATGAGGTGGCTGAAATACGAAAATTAGCAGGGAAAGGTTGGAAGATTGGAGATGTGAATTACTACGCGAAGGGAAAGGATGGGAACAACTAAATCTGAGAAAATCAAAATAAAATTACCTCTGCCTGGTTTCAAGTTGTCTCTGTGATATTTTTGAGAGAAGCGTTTGTTGAGAGGTTTGATCCTTGCGTGTGTGTAGATAATACCTTCCAATTTCTCAACCCAATTTCCCCCGTCACATTACTATTTTCATTTTATTTCTATTATTATTTTTGTAGCCGTGTAAATTATGGACTGGTAAACAGTTGTTTAGTTTATTAATAAGACCTAATAAACAATCTCCAGTTCAAGCTAATCTACGAACTAAAGGCAAGAATTATTCTAAAGATGAAGAACTTTGTTACAATGATTCATGTGAGTTTTTTAGATTTATAAATTTGAATGTGTAGTCTAAATTAAATTATCTTTTATTTTTACTTAGCCACACAAGTTAAGGTCTTACTACTTCCTTCTTGTTTCTTCTTATCAATAACCTTTGAGCTAATCTGATGACCTCTTATTTAACCAATCAAATTACACTGGTACAATTCAGAACAACCAATGAACAAGCATGTTTCAACATTCAACAATGTTCAGTTTCAGTAGAATTGATAAACAAGTCGAATGAGATTTTTTGAGAAATGGAAGCCTGATTATTTATAAAATTAATTGATTATATTTCTAGTTGTTGTTATAAGAAATAGTGAGTTACTATGTGGAGCTATGGATAAAGGAACACTAGGCTCGGGGTCGAAGGCTAATATCTTCTATATTATATTACGTGACTACGGGGAGCAGTACGCTGCAGACGCTCTGTCCAGACTAGCTAAACTCTGTCCTGCTTTTCTCTGTAAGTATTCTTATGTTTTATCTGAAATCTTGATGTTTTAATTGCATCAAAGAATGGATTTTATTCTAGATAAAATAATCTAAGTTAAAAACCAGATTTGTAAATTTTTGCTGTAAAAGAAGGATTTTGTTGGAGAATGCTTATCCTTGTTCTTGACTTCTTTTTATAAATTTGGCCATTAAAAATAAAAAGAGTTGAAAACAGAAACTAGAAGAAACTGTTGGTTGTTCACAAATCAACTATTAAAAACTATTTTCAATATTTTGTGCCAAGAAAAAATATGTTCTTTTAATCTGCTAAAATGTCATTTTTCAGCCAATCGAGGGTTTTCTATTGGTATAGGAGACGTAACACCAGGTTCCGGATTGATCAAGGCTAAGAATAAACTACTAGAAGATGGTTATAAGATGTGTGATGGATTGATTAGAGATTTAGAGGATGGGAAACTACAGACCCAACCTGGCTGTTCTCCTGAGGAAACTTTAGAGGTAGAAAGATTTTTATTTTTTCAGATTATGTTCACTGATAGGACACCCTAGTAGCTTATTTAGAAGTTGCTGAATTGCAGTATTCCTGAGTCTTGGCAAGTACTGTTGTGTGATAAAAGTGTCAGACTATTTTGGTTGGATTTTCGTGTTAATCTCTGCTCACGCTTAACATGGCATGTTGTAATTGCATTATCACCTGTGATGGAAACTTTAGAGGTAAAATTGAGATTTTCATTTTAAATGGAATACCAAGTGTAGGCCTATAATGATACATTTTGACAAACTCTCTTATGGTTAAATAAAAACCATTATTGATATATTGTAATATTGTGGTCTTAAGATATCAAGACTGGATTAAGAGTTATCTCCCTTGAGTGATGAGTGAAGAGCCTGAATAAAGATGGTGGTCATGATTTCATTCAGAGTGTTTTGTCTTTGATTCAAGACATCCTGTTTATCTTAGTCCCCAACTGAACATACAAACATACTCTTAGTATCCTGGCACATGTCTAAAGTTTCGAAAACTTCAAAGATCTCAATCAAGAATGGGACAATTGCATTTTAATCAGAAGCTAGGCCAGTGCTTTTATGTTCTCATCACTATCTAACATGGAATGAGTCAGGTTTAAGATAAGAGTTTATATGATTTCAGGCGATGATTTTACGAGAGTTATCTGTTATTCGAGATCACGCTGGTAAAGCCTGTTTACGAGAACTTCATAAAAGTAACAGTCCTCTAACTATGGCTATCTGTGGTTCTAAAGGTCTGTATAAAACTTACTAAGTAAACAGTTCCTATTTTGAATTGTGTGGACTGAATTCACAAACATAATGGGCACAAAAATATATCAACACTATTATCATCTCATCTGATAATACCAACGCGTTTCAGAAACACAATAATCATCAGGCTAGTTTTATCAATAGAGGTTAAACATCCAAGTTACGAAATGTTAACTATTTGACTAGAGCTCATCTCATACTGCTGACATGTGTTTAGGATACACAATCAGCCTCATAATTAGCAAAGAAATAATTGAACTCACTGATCAATGTTACTTCATTGTTTGAATATCTGTTGTGTTTTAGGTTCGTTTATCAATATATCTCAGATGATAGCGTGTGTAGGTCAGCAGGCTATCAGTGGAAAACGTGTACCCAATGGTTTCGAAGATAGAGCTCTACCTCATTTCGAACGACATTGTAAGTTTTAATTTCTAATTTAACACTCACTGGTTTAGATTTCATACAAATGCTGCAGAGATTTCAGGAAACAAAACAAACAAGTATTATAGACAATTGGATAAAACTAGGAATGAAAACATGTAAGGTTTACAATGATCCTGTCTACCAGGTTTTCCTTGACCAAACCTCTGTCCCAGATTATCTGTACCCATTTAAAGCTGGTTCAACTGGAAGTAGATGACATATTGAAGGTCATCAGACTTTCACACACCAAGATAAGAACACATGACCACCATTTGTCTGACTTAACCAAATTTTATTAAACTGTTATTTTTCAGCGAAGGACCCAGCTGCACGAGGTTTTGTGGCCAACAGTTTTTATACTGGTTTAACTCCAACTGAATTCTTCTTTCATACCATGGCTGGACGTGAGGGTCTAGTAGACACTGCTGTCAAGACGGCTGAAACTGGATACATGCAGAGACGTCTTGTTAAAGTAAGAGCTTATATAAATTTCTTTTTGACATTGCATGGAAAATAAAATTCTTATTGTTATGACAAAAAGCACACTCATTAGAAGATAACCATGCATTTCTTGTGTCCTAATAAATAAAATACAGTATATGAAGAAAATGTAAAAATATACTTGTCTTGATTTTCCAGTCTTTAGAAGATCTATGTCTACAGTATGATATGACTGTTAGAACATCAGTAGGTGAGGTTGTCCAGTTTGTGTATGGAGCAGATAATCTCGACCCAGCTGCTATGGAAGGCAAGGAAAAACCCATGGAATTTAAACGAGTCCTGGATCATATTAGAGTAAGTTACTATTTTTGAGGTGTTTTCATCATGGTGAGATAATATATAAATTTGTCCAATGTATTTTGAAAATAATTATTATTTATTGACAGAGTGTTTTATAAATGAAAGTCATACTAAACATCACAATCATAGTTTGATAGAAATTTCCAGACTATTACTTCATAACTTTTTGAATTTCTAAACCCTTTCTTTCATGATTTTTTATGGGGACATTATCAGCATTTGTAAAGTTTGAATTTGGAACAAATATTTTCTGTAATTAAAGGCCAATACTGGGAATGCTTGCTTGACTCTGTCTTGCATTTGTTGACTTTGTGTAAGTTTAAACAAATATTTTGTGTAATTATAGGCTAGTACGATGAACTCGTATCGTGACGAACCTTCGTTAAATGAAGAGCTATTAATAGCAACATGTGAGAATATTTTATCTCAAGCTCCGTGGACTTCCTGTACTAAAGATTTCAGAAATGAATTAATGTAAGTGGTTGTAATTTTTAGCTTTCAATTAGATCAAACTTTCAATCTGTTTATTTTATTATTTTGTTTCCAGGTCTTACAACCTCTCTATATATAACTTTCATTTTGAATAATACACCGCCAGCCAATCAAATTTCTTCCCTCTCCAACACTGAGATTTTGTGAGGCTATCAAAATGTGTATTCCAAGGAGAATAAGTCCACTATAATGATATTTATGTAATTATATCTAATTTGAATATTTTTAGGGAGTTTATCCGATCACTAGGTAGTAAAATAACAGGAGATAGAGATAGATTTATAGATCCTTCACAGAAAACAGCTCCTAAAGGTAATAATATATCAATTTTAGCAGAAAGTCTAAAACTTCCTACTTCACTAAAGATAAAGAAATGTTTTTACAATGATAGCAAATTAGGTTCACGAGGATACTTTCTATGCTGGTCCATGACCAAACCTCCTGGCATTGATCTTTCTCGGACTATCAGCTGGGTCAACTGGAATAATGAGGATCCAACCAAGATTGTAACCAACGACCACCATTTATCTGGCGTAACTGTTTAAGGAAATAACATTTTGTTTTAAAACTTGTATAAAATCTTAAAATTTTGATAATTTCAGTAATTTATGATAATTTCAGTAATTTATGATAATTTCAGTAATTTATGATAATTTCAGTAATTTATGATAATTTCAGTAATTTATGAGCTAGAGAGAGTAAGTCCAAGTCAACTGACCCAGTTTTTAAATTGTTGTTATGATAAATTTATGAGAGCTCAGATTGAACCAGGTAAGTCAATCACCTCTAGTGATGTCATCCTTTTGTTCTGTAGAAATTTTGAATCTCATAAAATTGTCTTATAAGTAAACAGTCTAATTAAAATTAGACCCAATTTCAGTTCGTATTTAATTAGTTTCGTTTGGAATGTTTTATTAGATATTAACTATGTATGTAAACACTACAGTAAGGTCTAACATTGTCCTTGAAGTTTCATTCTATTAACCTTTCCTTGACCTCTGTTTTAACCAATCGTGGCTGTCCTTTTCAGCGACGGGATAATGTGACGCAAATAATAGATGTATTTCGAGGCGTATAGACTAGATTATCTAGTCAAGTTGTAAGACCTTACTGTAGTGGCTATGTACAAAGTTAATAGCTAATGAAACATTCGAAACAAACTAATAAAATACCAACGGAAGTTAGGTCTAATTTTAATTAGACTGACAAGTAAGATATTAAACTTCCCATTGGGTCATTAATGATGTTTAAAACTCTTTCCCCACAGAAAACCTGAAATGAAAACTGTAAAATCATTCTAATGATTTAGTTTGTTTGTTTGTTTGTTTGTTATATAAGATTAGTGTTATCATCTCCAAGTAAACATTATTAATATTCAAACAATTGTCAGATATCAGGATTCCTCAAAACATGTAACTGTTACTATCTGATAATCAAGTTACAAGATATCTAAAATATAAACCACGAATTAGGCCCATCATTAACTCTAGGACTACTATATTTACAGGAACTGCAGTCGGAGCTGTTTGTGCTCAATCTATAGGAGAACCTGGAACTCAGATGACCCTCAAGACTTTCCATTTTGCTGGGGTGGCGTCCATGAGTATCCTTTTTGTTAAACAATTACCAAAATACGATTCTGGTGAAATTGTTTTTTACTTCAAGAACAAAGTTTATCTTGGCAGATAATAATCTTATTTTATTTCTTTTATCATTTAAACAGGTCATATTTTTTGCTTAAAAATGCAAATTTTTTAAAGAAACATTAATCAAATGTGTATAGAATTGAGATTCAGGTAATCCAAATAGACATTGATATTGATATGGTTTTCAGTTGTTGATATCTCAACTTTTTTTATGATTTATTGCCCTTGTTTTTGTAAATAATGGTCTAGATATTATGTTAAATACTCAAACAATAAGGTTCACTCAAAAATTTAAATTTCTTTAACCCAAGCTGTCAGACATCACACTGGGAGTTCCTAGAATCAAAGAAATAATCAACGCATCTAAAAATATCAGTACACCTATTATAACAGCTAATTTAGATGTTGATAACGATGCAGAGTTTGCCAGGGTCGTCAAAGGTCGTATTGAAAAAACTACGTTAGGAGAGGTGGGTAGAATTTTTTGTATTATACAATATTATATTATATATAATTAAATATAATTATATAACTTGGATAGAAGACCCTAGAGTGATTGTCAAGAGCTTTTCTAAACTTTTGACAATGTAAATTGTTGAAACGTTGTCTACATTAAAACTTTTGGAGTAATAAACCAGAAAGTTGTCTTTTGTTACTTAAAGATTCAAAATCTGTCAAAGAAGTACTAGAACAATTGAACACCTTCTTGTATTAAATTCTCTAGACAGTATATTGATGATGTTTGAATATTACAAAGTTAATAATGATTTATATATTTGAATTATTTAGGTGTGTGAATATATAGAAGAAGTTTATATCTCTGATGATTGTTTTGTTCTAATTAGACTGGATCTTGACAGAATCAAACTTCTCAAGGTAAGTCCTGTATTTGATTGAGGGAATCTGAAAAATTGGTCTGTGTTAACAACACTTGTTATTGTTCATATATTTAATACAACATGTCCACTCACATGAAGTGGCGCTACAGTCTAGTAGGCTACTAAATATGCATGACATACTTAATATTCATGACATACTTAATATTCATGACATTACGTCACATTCTCATAACAATCTGAACTGTTGATCAAAGAATTATGAAGAAGTTGACTTGTACATCGATGTAAATAAAGCAAAAATAAAACAGTATCCTTTTCAATAGAGCATGAAACTACAAAAAGATTTGTTTTGTCATCTTCAAAATCATATGATAGTTTCTTGTAGGCACTGACCTTGGTCACAGAGTATTGATTATTAGACTGAATTTAATGTGTTTTTGTTTGTTTTCAGCTTGAAGTAAATGTTGACACGATAAGATTTTCTATTTGTTCAGCTAAACTGGGAGTTAAACCACAGGTAAGTAGAACCAGACTGACTTTCTAAAGCATTTCTTTATCTTTTTTTTTTTACCTTAGAGGATCTAAACGTCACCTGAACTATCCCACTGCCACAAAACCCAGACATAAGAGAGAACCATGAATGTTTTACACAGTTCCAAAGTTTTTACCCCCCTTTCTATAATGTGAGAATTTCTCTATCATGTGACGTTTGACTGACAGCTAGCCTTACATTACAAAAAATTGTTGCATTGCTCCCTGATTGAAAATGTTTTTGGTTTCAACTTTCAGGATGTACAGGTTCACAATGATAGTATATTATCAGTCAGCGCCAGGGAAACCAGTAAAAGTTCCATGTATTGTATTCTACAGAATCTTAAAAAACTTTTACCTGGTGTTATGATCAAGGTGAGGCCTTGAATTCAAATGTCTTGTGGAATTAATTGAAAGGGCATTCTGATATTGATGTTCACATTGAAAAAACATCTCGTTGTTCATATTGGGCAATAAAGTGAGACCCTGTGTGCTACAGGCTGTGCATCTTTAAGATTATTTAACAGTTTGCTAATGCGGTTATACTGACAAAATCCCTCCATTCACACAAGATGACCCGTCTTCAACTAGAAACCTAATCTCAAACTTAACTTCAATCAATCCAGATTTTCAGAAATACTTAAATATTAGTTTATAAAACTCTCAAGTCTGGTTCCTACTGAACTTTCTTGGGCTTAAACTTGTTCGTTTTTCTTTAGCTACATGGATATCCAATTTTATATGGGAAGCCCATAGCCTGTGGATTCAGGTTTCTGTTTTTGTTGGTGAATTTAAACACTGAACTGTTCTGTATTAAACCATTTGACTTTTTAGGGTGTACCATCAGTAACACGAGCTGTAATACATATAGATGAGAAGAAGGGAGATAACTGCTATAAACTATTAGTAGAGGGAGATAATTTACAGGCAGTTATTGCTACTAAAGGTAAAAAAAACCCCAACTTTTTCACCTATTTCTTATGGACATCTCAAATTTATATAAGTGGACAATATTTAGATCTATTAGAATGTTTGTATATTGGTTAAGTCTAACCCAGTTCTTGGTGTTTGTTTGTTGGTTTGTAGAAATTCAATAGATCAAAGAACAAATCAGTTTTAGCTTATCTACCGCTTTTCCCTAAATTTCTGTCTTGGAGTGAAGCTGTTAAGTCACATAACTTAACTTGAACACTGCAATCTGAAAAGTACATAAATTATAGTTGATAAACAAGGCCTTTAATTTAACTCTATATTTTTTTTATCTACAGGTGTAAAAGGTACAGACACTACCTCTAACAATACATACGAAGTTTATAAAACTCTGGGTATCGAAGCAGCGAGGAAAACCATCATGAACGAAGTTATTTACACCATGGTTAACCACGGAATGAGTATAGATATTCGACATGTTATGTTATTAGCTGACCTCATGACCTTTAAGGTGAGTGACCTAGACCTTGTGACCCATCAAATCTATTATCTGACTGTGACCTACAGATTATTTATTGTGAATCATGTAATAATTATTGGTATTTGCAATGTAATTTAGCTAAATTGAATTTGAGTGACCTTGACCTTAATATTTGAAATTGCGACCCTTAATGTGATTGGCCTTGACCTATTAAGTATTCATAGAAAATCACAGAATGAGTATTGATATAAGCTGAGGTCTCGAATTTAACACGGATTTGTTGATAACAAGAGCAAGTAACTCTACATTAAGTGAAACCAGACCACAACATGATGTTTATTTTAACATTACAGGGAGAAGTGTTGGGTATCACCAGATTTGGATTGGCTAAAATGAAAGAAAGTGTCCTGATGTTGGCCTCAGTGAGTATAAAAATCATAACACAAATTGAGAGAAAATATTGAAGGTTTTTCAAACCTAATTTTCTATGTAGAGTGGACTGCCTTCATACCACAATTATCAAAAAATATTTTATCTTCCCTGCAATTATATATTGAAATGATGTGATTTGTTATAACACAGTGCTAGAAAACCTGTTGCTAACTAAATGATGGCTTAAGGTGCAGTCACACAAGCGGTCTTGGTTGGAGATTTCTGTCGCCAACTCAAATATTGAGTAAAATCTTGCGTGTGCCCATGGTTGCATGACAAGATTATCGTGTCACCAACAGGATTTATAATATCAAACCAGTTTGATAATTGTCTTCGATAGTTTTATCATCTGCAAGACAGACCGTCATCATCCAATCAGATTCCTTTACCTTTCAATTGCAATTGCATTCCACATGATGGAAAACGGCCGACTAGAGAATTTTTTCTCCACGTGTGTCTGTGCCAGTCGTTGAAACTCAAGACAAGACTCTAATTAGCGACAAAAGTATCCAACTAAGACCGCTCGTGTGTCCGCACCTTTAGGATTGAGTTATGTTAATTGACTATGTTATAATTTCAGTTTGAGAGAACAGCTGACCATTTATTTGAAGCCTCGTATTACGGTCAAACAGACACCATCAATGGTTAGTAATTTACACTTGTCTTAAATCACTCAAATCAATTTGTTTAAAATGAAAATATTGGGTAGACCATCTGTTGTTAGAATACAGATGTATGAGTCAAATTTGTTGCTGAATGTTGTTTTATTTCTTATATTTTTGGCCTGAACGTGTATTCAATAAATCATTTCTGTTTTTTTTTTAACATTCCAGGTGTAAGTGAGTGTATTATAATGGGTATACCAATGAGTATCGGAACTGGTCTCTTTAAACTTTTATATCAATATCCTTCTATTAAATAATATTTACATAGGGTGGTGTTGGGATCAAATATTATTTCGGGGTTTGGGTTGAGATAAAAATCTGTCTGAAAAACCTTGATTTTATGTGCAAAATATTCATTGTCTTGCATGCTGTCCTGGCAAAATTTCCCTCATTGCCCGTCTTCATTAGCCCACATGGTGCAGAAAAGTAGGACGTAAAACTCCATTCATTTCATTTTTCGTTGACTTGCAGCATCTTATGTCATTCCTGATGTAGACCTACTTGATGTCCTACATAGACTCTCAGACGTTTGTACTACCCTGCCAGACATGACTGGCAAATAGAGCCCATCAACAACCATTGTCCTTCCCAAATTCAATTAATATTTTCCATAACTCTTATTTTACAACCAACAAACCAGCGAAATTACCTAAACGACCACTTCTCTTCAACAACCAAGAATTCCATATCCCAGAAGCCAAAGTTAGCTAGCAGACGTCAAACAGTTAAGGAATGTTTAAATTAATTTATTTACTTTACTGGTGCTCAAAAGTGCTGAATCATTGTAGTGGAAGTTTTGACATATTGTTCATGTATCCCAGAAGCCTCGGTTAGTTAGCAGACGTCAAATAGTTTGCATTAAATTATTAACTTGATTGGTGCTCAAAAGTGCTTAATCATGGCATTGGAAGTTTTGACAAGAATATTGTTAATGTATCCCAGAAGTCCTCAGTAAGCTAGCAGACGTGACGTGATAGGCCATTTTGAAAGTGAATTGTGCTGAATCATTTTCATTGGATGGGCCATTTTGAAAGTGGATTGTGCTGAATGATTTTCTTGGAATAGGCCATTTTGAAAGTGGTTTGTGCTGAATCATTTTCGTGGAATAGGCCATTTTGAAAGTGGTTTGTGCTGAATCATTTTCGTGGAATGGGCCATTTTGAAAGTGGATTGTGCTGAATCATTTTCATTGGATGGGCCATTTTGAAAGTGAATTGTGCTGAATCATTTTCATTGGATGGGCCATTTTGAAAGTGAATTGTGCTGAATCATTTTCATTGGATGGGCCATTTTGAAAGTGAATTGTGCTGAATCATTTTCGTGGAATGGGCCGTTTTGAAAGTGAATTGTGCTGAATCATTTTCATGGAATGGGCCATTTTGAAAGTGAATTGTGCTGATACGTGCATTGGCGAATGTTAGTGAAAAATGTGGATTAAAAAATGAGATGTAAGATTTGGATGTATTTGTTCATGGTGGATGAAGTAATTGTGTTGACATGATAGTGAGACTTGGATCAGATCTTTGAAAAAATCATAAACTGTTTAAAAACATCCCAAAGATATGACTTTTCAAACACACTTGACTGACAAGAAAAGTTTTATCGGTTTTGTCAAAAACATGAAAACAAAAACACTAGAGATTCCGTCATAAAATTTATTGTGACCATTAAAACAAAGTTATACATTGTTATACAATAAAATATAATATGTCACTGAGTTTATATTTCTCTCTTATACAAAATTAAAACATAATCTGAATATTAACATCATCAGAGTAGGTGGGATGGACACTATTCTCAAATTATTAAACTGATCATTTCACATAATCATACTGGAAAGTAGGTAAATGTATAAATATATTTGTTAGGAGAAAAATAAATTGTAAAGTTGAGAATACTGTTTTTCTTCAAAATAATAATCAATAGAATATTACACAACAAAATAAAACTAGAATATAATTCTAGAAATAACAATTTGATAATTAAAAAAATTAAAATAAAACAAAATAGCCCTATTTAAAAAAGAAAAATGGGAATTATAAATGATCTCTAGATAAATAATTCTAAAAATAAAGTAAAATAAAATAGTACTATTTTCTATTATCAACTTCAGTTTACCTGAGTATTAATCAATTTATCCTGGTAATTTAATAATTTTAAAAAAAATACAATCTATGATGTTTAGTTGGGTCAATTTTCCCTATGATTTAAATAAAAGTTTACAATCAGTAAAGACAATTGTAATTTTGGAAGCTTTGTGATTTCTGTAAATTTTTGGTAGAGAATAAAACTTAGCTTGGGTAGCACTTTTGATGCATAATATTTAATTGGCAACTTTGTGGTAGAAAAGTAAACAGTAATTTCTGTAGCTTTCAAGCAGATAAAAATTCTTTGGCATCTGTTTTGTTTTGATGTTTGATTTTGGCAGATCTTTGGTAGAAAATCATATTTTTGTAGTATTTAAGCCAGACGCAGACAACAGAGATTTGTCTAGAAATATCTCCTAGACATCGAATCAGAGGACATCGTATGGAGTAAAAATTGCGTGAATCACAGGCAAATGCAAAATGTTGTTTCACATTCTAATTTATTGTGTAAATTGGCATATCTTGCTTGGCAACCGCTTGGACAAAAGTCTGTTGCATGCACCTGACTTAATAAGGAAGCTTTCTGGTCTTTAAACTCTTACTTTGGCAACTTCAGTAATTAAAATCCATTTGAAACAGCAACAACTTTCCCACCAGAAATATAAACTCGTGGCAGACGCTTACTCAAGCTGGTCCCAATTTCATACGGAATAGTTTTCAATTCGGCTGCAATTTTTGTTAAAGAATGTCCAGACACATAATCATCCTTCATTATATAGTATACTTGATTTGAGTCCAGACTATCCAGTCTTACAGTAATAGCATCCATGGAAACACGACCAATGACTGGATACTGGTCACCTGATATATTTGAGATCATTCCATTGGTTGAGAGATGTCTATTGTAACCATCAGCGTATCCAATACTGAATGTTCCAATGATTTCTTCTTTTTTGCATCTGAAAATAAAAAATCCCCGTTTAAATCTTAAGTGAAGCTGACATGGAAAAAGCATCTAGTCGTTCAGATGGGACAATAAACCAAGGCCCCGTGTACTACAGGCTGTACACATTAAAGATCCCTCGACTGTCAGAAATAAAAAAAGAGAGGGCTACCGCTGCTGTCCTGGCAAAATTCCCATCATACCACCGTGCATGGCGTTGCCTGTCTTCATAAGCCCACATGGTGCAGGAAAGTAGGGCGTAAAACTCCATTCATTTCACTTCGTTTTTTCCATAAAACAGAAGCAGTTATGAGTACATGTAGTTTATCGTTAGATTTCAAATTTGAGAATTCTCTTTACTGTAGGCATATATCATCAAGCAGGATTTAATGTTGGATAACGAGATGCCTGATAAAACAAGACTTTAAGATTCTTAATAATAAATAGATCTACAGATATCTGATTTAAACTAAATTTAAAATAGATTTTATGATTGACCAATCAGATGACTTGAATATCAAAACCAATGTGTCATCTTTTTAACTTTCAAAACTCAGATAACCATGGTTACATGCAGAGTTAAATTTTCGAGAATAAAACCTTAAGAAAACTGGTTTCAAAATGGAGGTAAAGATTTCATACTTACTGATAAGTTTGATCATACCCGACAACCGAGCCTGGCGGTAATTTTTTGACTAACGAGGGTTTAGCTAGCCAGGATAACGCTGGTTTTAAACCTATAGATTGAAATTTATTAACTGTTTCTTCACTGGGATCTAGAATAGTTATAAAATAGTAAAGTTTTAAACCAGGCTCAGTGATGCAGGTTGGAGGGCTGTCATGGAAGAATGACCTGGCCCTGTGTTCTACAGCTGGTACATACTGCATTACCTCAAACTGGACAAGATAAGTAGGATGATTCTATTCTATTTCATTTCCTATTTTTAAATGTTACGGAAATAAATTCATAGTTTTTATGTGAAAAATATAACTTGACATCATATACCATACTTTAATATCCAACGTTTCATCACAAACAGTTTAGATTAACAGGGGAAGAAACAAAATGGATTTAAAAGGTTAAAAGGGTCAAGGACTCACCAGTAGGTAGACCATATATAGCTATACCAGGACGTATAAAATCTAACTCAATACCAAACCCTTGTATTATCCCAGCTGAATTACTAGCATGGAGTTTTACACCTTCAGATCTGTAATAACAATATTATAAAGTTTATTTTTCTGAACTAGATGATTTAGCCCTGATTCCTCCTTGTCTCTTGGGGACAATTTTTAATATTGGTTGTCTGAATATTTATAACCTCATATCATCTCTCCTGACACAGTCGGTTCCCAACCACGAATACTTTGACCTCCCTTTGAGGTACCAACGATCACTACCAAGTGTACTTTCTAGTCTCCCTTGGAATATTATTTGACAATTCAAAATATTTTTTCTTCTATCTCATCATGGATATTTATTATTTCATCTTAATGCCAAGTTTAACTACTAAAGTGAAACATGGTAGAATATGTAGTAGTTTTGGAGTTGTTCAGAAGAAGATGGATGTGAATTTGACAACATACCTAAGATGGCGGCAGGTCTGCAAAAATAAATCAAGTTGTTTCTTAGTAAACTCTGGATCGTCCCACGCCTGACTGAAATGGGTCATTGCACTGTGAATTGGAATATGCAAATCTTTACATTTCTGAAAATAAATACAAAATAGTAATATAAAATTCTAAAATACAAAATCTACAAACACTTTATTCAAAGAAGGTTTCATCAGTATTTCAGTTGACCCAGCTGTAAATTGGAACTATCTAGGCGTACCTAGAAGTTTGGACATGGAATAGCTGATAAACAGGCTCCTATAGGATGATTTATGGTGATATACATGTATGGAAGTGTTGCTTTAAATATGACTGTTCTACATCTTGAGATAATAGCTTCCGATTTTTCAACCCTGTTTCCCCCCTGTCAGTGATGCAGTTCAGAGGGGCTGACTTGGAAAACAGTGTCTTGTTGTTCGGATGGGGCTACAGGCTGTCGTGTCCCTTATTACACCCTGCATTACCCCACATGGTGCAAAAAAGTAGGCACCTAAAACTCCCTTCATTTCATTTCATTTATAACTGTTCTACTAACCAAAATAGTCAGACAGTACTGGCTCAGGAATAAATTATATGTGTATATTTAAAGACCAGTTTTATCACAAGGTAAGGGGATGAAAAACACGTGGAATTTAAAGGTATCTTTCTGACCTGTATTAATTCTGGAAGTTGTTCTGGTTGACATCCATTTCTACACATTCCACAATCAACTTTTATTACTACCCATGGTTTCTCCTGAAATATAAAACTTGTTGATTTTTAAATCATCCTTCTCATCCAACCTTCTTTCCAATCAACAGTTAGTTCACACTTTCTTCACCCAAATAAACCCCACCCTCACACACACACACACCCACACCCTCCCTCTCCCACACCTAGGTTAATATCCACAAAAGCTCAGATAGTTCAAATTTTGGTATGATTTGACAAATATTAACAGAGTTTTAACCCTTGATACACTGAAAATACGATAAATTAGCTTGTGAACGCTTTAGAGCCAACAGTTTATATCGAATTTTATGAAATTTTGTGTACAGATTAATATCCTCAAGATATAATTTGGGTACAATTCAACAAAAATTGATGGAGTTGCAGCCCTTGATGTATTGATAATACTCAGCCTACCTGAGACGAGGAATGGTTGTTATTATTGTGGAACCAGTCTGACCAATGTTGCAGGAATTCCTGACAGCAGACAGTTGGCGTCAGATGGAATTCTTGACACACTGCAATATCTTCCTTCACACAGCTTCCTGTAATAGAATTAATAACATGATGACCAAGAGTGGGGTTGGCAATGGGGGAGGGGACAAGTTGTAACGTGGGTGGGCTTGTTTAAACAGAGTTAGGACAAGATATGATACATGTACTAATACAAGTACATATTCATTTGATGCTGTGTTTCAGATACACAATCCTTATCAGGATGACTAGTTTTAGAAGGGGTGTTTCCTATATAGAACTAGCTTGTTGACAGGAGCTCATGTTTCAGATACACAATCCTTATCAGGACAACTAGTATAGGAGATGAAGGTTAACTTTCCTATATAGAACTAGCTTGTTGACAAGAGCTCATCTCTTGCTGCTGACATATTTCAGATACACAATCCTCATCAGGACAGGTAGATTAATCTTTCCAAAAGTGGACATTCAACCTTTGAGGACAATAAGTAAACTGACTGAACAGAATGAGAAGTCTAGCTAGCTTATTTCAATGGTGCTCAAATTTATTACAGGAGACCTAATGATTAATTCAACGCTTGCTCAGTAACTTAATGGTCCAGGGTTTAATCCCAGCATAGGTTGAGATAATACATTCAGATTTCATCCTGGTTTCCCCCTTGTTAGTGATACAGGTGGCTGACATGGAAAAAGCATCTAGTCCATTCCATTTCATTATTCATCGAATTCTTTACAATCTAATAAATCTATAAATTACCATCTAGACAGCCTGTTACCTCAGATCTCATGTTTTATTTCATAGATGAGTTAAATACTAATCAAATAGAAATTAATTTACCAAACACCTGTATAAATCCCTTAACACCATTTCTCCTCAATTCTCCACCTTCACCAGCTGTTGCTATAGCGAAGTGTGATACTCCATTATTTTCTAGATGTTTGGCAATTTCTACACTTCCATGACCATAGGCATTAGCTTTTATTACAGCTATTACATCTGGAACAAATAATCAAATATCATTTCAT